AACGTTATTCACATTCATTTTTTTATGATTTTAGTATATTATTTATTATTATATTATATAAAAGATAAAATTATAAAATCTGTTATCCGATGAGAAAAGTTTGCGCTAAGAGTATTACTTAAAAAATTAGAAATGATGAAAAATTATCAAATTTATCAATCGTCAATTTTGCGATAATTAAAATAAGATTGATTAATGTAATATACGCGCTTTTACGGGAAGAAAGAATTGATTTGAAAGAATATATTTGTGAATTTTTGCACACTACTTTAGAAGTTGTTGTATTGCAAATACAACATTGTTTCGTGAAGATTCAAGTCGCATCCAACCGGTTTTCATGAAGTGACTAGGATCCTTGTGAAATGCCATGTTTCACGGAAAGCTCACATGTACATATCGAATCAGGTTGGCTGTGGTAGGGAGAAGGTAAATCGAATCAATCAGGCGAGATACACGTGTTTATTTATAGCTGGCGATCGAATATTCCGAAGACAAGCCACCTGATGGACGGTCTTGAAAGATGTATGCAGGAAAGAAAAATAGCTATCTCTAAAGAAAGACTCCAATTTATTTCAGTTAATTATTTTATATCGCGAAATAACCGGACGCGCTGATTTTTTTGCTCGTCAATGATTAAGAGATAAAGAAAATAGCGATGTTTCTTAAACTCGAATACGCAGTCAAGTTCTCTATAAAACCACGATAAATTTCGGCGGCGATTTATGTTTTTCCTTTTCTTCGCTAAAAATAAGGAAACATATATATCTCGTCGTATGTTTTTATCGAGAATTTGATAAACCAGTACATATTTATTATTTGATATATTTGCCGATAACTCATATAAATCATTGGTGGAAAAATTCATTTCTCCATTTCGTCGTACAATTGATAATCCGCCGCGTGTGCGAAATGTCGCGTTCGCAGAGAATTTTCATTCTCCTATTTTTCCAAAGAAATTGCACAATTCGACAAACGATCGGCTATTTCGAGACGGCGTTTGAATGAGCATAACGCACAGGTGCCAGAAACCCCCGACGAATCGTTGACGGACTTGACGATGAAAGAGGAGAAAGAGAGAGCGCGAAAGTGTCCGGCGATCGATCATTCATAACGCGCTCTCACGCATCATTTCTGCGACTCCGCCACGAGTAAAACTCGAGAGAAATCACGTGATTTATTCAAGTGGAACCGAATTGACGATATTAACCAAGAATTTCGATAATAGAAACAAAATACGGAATCGAATCCTTTCCCTTTTTTCATTTTTTCAGTGTTTGATTTATACTATAATTAAGTATACTATTATCTATTATTTTGTCTTTGGTCTGTACATATTATCTTACATTATATTCACCGTTTTGTTTCGATCATTGCTAAAAAATAAATAAGAATTGAATAACGAAAGAATCTGTCTGATAATGTTACGATTGCGGTTTCCTGCAAGAGTATCCAACAGACAAGCTTAATCGAATTTCTCATGAGAAAATAAGATCAAAAAAAAGAAATTGAAAGTTTTATTTTACATTTAAAATTGGAATAACATTTCCATATAGCAAACAGAAAGATGTATATCACGAGGTTACATATAATAAAATATTATAAATAATATTTCGATCGCAGAGTTCACACAGATATAATGCGTGAAAAATTGAATAGCGTAGCTATTAAGATGTATTTTCTAAGATAAAATTTACATTTGATCCTCCCCCCTCCCCCCCTCTCTCTCTCTTTTTCTGATGACTCGCTCCTTTACTTACACTTGTCTCACTATATACTGTTTTTTTATCCCCCGATTTTTTTTCTTGGTACACTTAAAAGAGAACTCTATAATATTGCAACAACGTGATCTAAAATTTTCGGAAGGTCGATTCCACACGAATCACTCGAATTTGAATCGATTAATCGACCGCTTGTTTTATCGTTCAAAGGTGAATGAGAGTCTCTGGCTCGCCTTGACGCTCCTTACAAATCGATCCAACTGCCAAAGGTAGAGGTCTTATACTGCGCCCCCATGAACGCATGTGTATGTATAAGCAATGATAGCGTGCCACACGGATGTCGTCGGCTCGCATTACATTTCATTTTCAGCGTTAGGATCGTTAAGACGAATTGTACGAATAAGGTAGAGGGGCTCTCGATTACACGCGCCACGCTCGTCGCGCGAATCCAAGAGTTCGTGAAAAATATTTCAGTTACGTCTATAAAGGCGCAAAATTTCGCGATCGAGTACGCCTTCATTAACCTTTTAAAATATTTTTTATGTGTATTTATAGGCGGATTTATATTTAGAACGATGTCATATTTTTTTTTTAAAGATTTCACATAAAAAACAGACAGTATCCTCGAAGCTGTTTTCTGAAAGTCTCTTTTGATGCCAAGGTAACATTGGTAAAAGACCGTGGCATATTTATGAGAATATTTACGAGGCACGTAAATGCAAACGATATATTTTTTTTTTTTTTTTTTTTTATTATAAGTATAAATTCGAGTAAATTACAAAAACGCGAATTGATTCATATCTTTGGTAGTTATAATCTTTGGAAGCATAATTAATTTTGTCTCGACTGGTTTTGGGATGAAGAGTAGAAGAATGGGATAACTCGTTGGGTGTGTGTGTGTGTATATGTGTGTGTGCGCGCGTGTCTGCGCATTTCGGATAATATAGTGGTTGCTTTGTTTCACGATAATAAACCGTTATGTGAAATTGCACGGATGGAAAAATCGCACAGATTTCTCATCTACTTTCAACATTATCATCATCTTATTATTATCTCTATAAAACATTTCTGTGAAGAAATTTAGTCGAAGGAAATTTTTAAGTGACAATTATATTTTTAATACCTTATATATGTGTATATATCTTTCAAGTGATTTATAAGAATAAATAATGTAGAATATTAACTGCTGCATTATTGCATATCAAATTCAAATTTTTACAAACTGATATTTGTGTTATAATATTCGCAAATCCATTATCTTGATTAAGATAAAAAGTAATGTCGCACTCGCAAGTACGACGCGCAATGGCGGAATTGTAGAACACAATGTTTATTTATAAAAAATACCAATATATCCAAACTATATAAAGCAATATCCAAAATAATTAATAATTGAAAAAATATTGCATACAATAAAATTTTTATTTGTCTCTTCAAACAAATATTTAATAAAAGTATAAAATAGAAATTCAATTCTTATATAATATTCGTTTTCATAGGCAATTTAAAAAAATTTTAAAAATCTAAAAAAATCTGAAGCAATGCTGAATATCTAAATATTTTGGATACATTCATATAAAATTATTATTTTTATATTAAAAAAATGTTTTNNNAAAAAAATGTTTTATTAAATATTTTAAATATATATATTTCAAAATAAAAGACTTAGAATATTTTATACGCATTATATTACACAATGATGCAAAATGAATCGCGAAGATAAGCGAATAATTAATTTTACAAATGATAAATGAACCCAATTATAAATTGCTTATCTCGTGATTGCTCCGCCGTCGCCTGATTACTCCCCCGGGTCTCCTTCTCCTTCTTGTTCTCTTCTTTCTTATTTTATCCTTATTGTTAGTGGTCCTTCATGGCACTCACACATCACTCACTCGCGAAAATATGATTAATTATGATTGCGCGACATTTTACATAATACTTGATTAAAATTGATATTAATCGCACACGAGGCACACTTTATATTTTATTGCGACTTTATTTCATACTCAGCTTGTAAAAAATAATGCACTATACATGCCGCCGCAAGAAACGAACATCAAATACCGTGTGACAATTAATACGTTAAAACCATGAAATATTTAAAGTAAGCACATACAAAGTATTCTGTTCCTTTAATTTTAAATCAATTATTCATAAATGTCATAAATTACAGTCGATATATCACGGCTTTTCGTTACTCGATTTACTCGATTTTACGACTCGTGATTTTTCATTCGCCGAAAATAATTAGCAAATCGATATGTCCAAACCGATGAGAAAGCCAAAGCGTGTAGTGATGAATATTTAATTCTAGGCCTATTTGAAGAAATATATATCGTCCGCAAACTCGGAATAAAACAATAATTTATAATTTCATATTTGCCATTTTGATTGCTATTGTACTTGAAATATGTAAATAGCGCGAAATATTTGTTTTGATAAGATAGTCGTCGCCTTGGTATGTTTACGAGTCATCAATCGCGGGAGTTAATTATTCGCGCGAATTAATAATAATAATACTTCTATATGATTATACTGTTATCGCGTTTTAATACAAGTTATAATCTGAATATTTCTCTGCAATATTAAAGATGTATATAATTTTGATGATTTATAGATTTACTTTATTCGTTACATAATGTATATTGACAATTAATGATCAATATATCGCGTAAAGCGCGATAATTTTTTGATAACATCAATGAATGCTTAAAAAAATGCGTGATCACTAAATATGTGCACAACTCATACGAGACAAGCAAAGCGTCTAAATGTAGCTAACTTTCTAAACCCTTATATCTCAATAACTATTGTTTAGAATAGAAAATGGCAAATATTTTTATTACTTTACTTTTTTTGAAAAATTTTCTTATGGTGGGGCCTGTGTAATAGTAAATGTATATAAGATTATGTTATATTGACATTCACTCTTTCTCTCTCTTTCTCTTTCTCTCTCTCTCTCTCTCTCTCTCTCTCTCTTTCTCTCTTTCTATCTCTCCAATTATAATGCTTTTTCTAAAAAGGGCAAAAAACGGAAATTTTAATTTATACATATCATATATTTTTTTTGTAATATCTCATTATTATTATCATCATTATTATTCAAATAACTTTCGGAATAAATTCTCCACAATGGAAATTTTAATAAAAATTTTTCATAACTTTGTAAAAATTCAATGCAATGTTTCTGCGTTGAATTTTTTGCATTATAACACATTTCATATGCATTTATAGATATTTCCAGACATTCTCATAAATTTCTCTTGACACTTTTTGCAGGTGGCGTGGGGCACGGCCGTGATGGAATTGCAGAGCTGGTTGCTCTATCACTTAGTGGCCGTCACCGACTGCAATCAAGGTAGAAAAGATACGTCGTTTGTCGTGTCTCGTACACATCTATGAACCCGCGACATTTGTGTAACGCCAACGATTTGTCATTTAACCCTTGGTTATTTTAGTTACGTTTGCCTGAGTTTGCCGGACCATTATTCACACACGCACAGCCCTCTCGCCGCTTCTTTATTTAATTTTCCATCCCACTATCACGATCCAGAGGAAACAGTGGTCTACCGATGTTTGACGGTGAGTTCATCGTACGAAAACACGCACAATAACGTATACACGATCGAGAACATCGTTGTAGCCGATGCTTGAGATAAGACGCTTTCCCGCTGTTCTCGAGAAGCTGGAATTATAACGTTTCGTCTTTCTAACAATAAGTTCTTTAAACTTTCTACTTTTGTGCCACATTCGACCGTACAATTCTTTTGTTCCGTCGCTCAGAATGAATTATTAAACCGCAGATTTGAGGGGGAAGGATGTGACCCGCTTTTTCACCGCATATTTAGCGATGATTAAGGCGTTACAGTTGCGTTAAACGTGCGATTATATTATATATAAATATTATTTTTTAATTTTATAAATATATAATTTCCAATATACAAAATTTATATCGCAGATCAATGAAAATGAAATTTTTAAGTTGGGAAAGATTAGTTTTTCTCACATTTCTAGTGTTAAATACAAAACAACATAAACGCAGTATATGATTGACATAGAGATAAAATTTGTGTTATTAATAATATATTATATTAAAAGTTTCTATCGGACGCGAGAATGGTTTCGAATCGGGGAAATAAAATTCGAGATTGCACGGTCGCGTTTAGTGCTAAACAAAAAGGAGAATGCGGGTCAATGCTCACAATGTACGTGCCGCAGTCGTTTACTGTGCGAAAATATTGCAGTGATGCAGTCGGCGAATACAATCGGAAATGGCGGCGGCGGCGGATCGTATACAACCGGTGGCGGAACCGGAAGTCGCACTCGCGATTTAGGGCTGCGCGCCCAGAAAAAGCTTCTGGGTCGCATAGTATCCACCGGTGCCGGCCGATCGCTCTTCATCGACGATGCCACGACGTCGTTGCTTGATAATCTTTACAAGCTGATGGAGAATATCGCCAAGAGTAATCCGCACTTGGACAAGAAGGAACCCGAGAAGGTTCTCAAGAATATCGTCAAATTGTCCATTAAGGTATAAAAACCCTTTAGAATCAAAGCTTTAATTTCTTCTTTCTTATGATATATTCCGCGAATTTGGAGAGCAGATTTAAGTAAGACTTTACGAGAGAAGCTGCGTATTTACTTTATAGTATAATCTTTATATTTAAGTTAAATATCTTTTTCAACTAAAATATACTGAAAAAAATGGAAGCGCAATTTGAATTTAAAATAATTGAGAGAATATTCAATAAAACTAAAAGGTGCACAATAATTAAAAATTAATATTCGCATTATTCATATATACATATATGAGATAATAATAGATACATTTGTTTTAATGAAGAAATTATATATATCATTTACAAATTTTATCTCTTTTTATTTGGATAACAAAATTATGAATTTTTAAACATTTCAAGTTGAATTATTATTGAATGCAACTTCTTGTTGCAGAATAATATATTGCTATCATTATACATATATATATGTATGCTTCATAATGATAGTATTTTATAATTCTAATTCTAATATAAATTAATTATATAATTAATTTTGTATTTATTTATACAATGTAAGTTTTTATTGAGCTAAAATTATAGCTGTATAAATAAAATCGGTAAGCTGTGTAAATTCATTTATAAAACATGGTAGATCGGGCTCGTGCAACGCAGTCATCAATTCCGTCCGAATGACGCCGTGAAGCTGGACGAGCTTCGGGAGGCTCTGGGAACGGTGGCGATGACGGTCGTGTCGTTCTACGAGGTTGACTACAGTTACGATCAAGAGTACCTGATAGGCTCGTTGGAACGTTGCCGATCGTTGGTGCAAGAACTGATAAAGCCGCATCTTACGGACAAGTCGTTGCAACGTTGCGACCAGGTATTCGACTTCCTGGTATATCCGAAATTCTTGGACTCGGTATTCCGATACGACTCCGAACACAGACCCGTCCTCGGCATGCTAGTCAGTGATCTCAACAAGGCGTTGGACGCCAGACGGCTTTGATTCTTCAAGGACGATATTTGCGCGATTTTGACAGAAGCGGATCGACGATCGACAATCGTGATCCGATGACCGCCTCCTTCGGCAACGACGGTTTCACGATCGTGATCGATGACGAGATTCATCGATGAAGGCGAATGAAGGAGAGGTGGATACATTGATACATGCACGCTTCGTCGCACTTTGTTTCACAACAAACGGACAAACGTGTTGTATACTTTCAGTGTGATGACAGTATAGTTTTTCGTAGCGATAGATTAAAAACAATGTGTTTCTTGCTCGCGACATACCATCCCCACTAACAAGTAGCCGGATCGAGCTACTCAGCGCGGACCACTCGCTCACTGATTTATGCAATAATTGTCTAATACTCCGCTTATATTTTAAGGACACAGTCACACCTGCGTTACGTATAATTGACGTATAATATACATATATTTATGTGCAGAATAAAATCGGCAATCCGTACCAAAAAGGGATATAATTAGCTTAGTTAATAAGATGACATAGAAGATGAAATTGTCGCACATTTTCTCTAAAATTCAATGCTAACGCGATTCTCAATATTCAACAATACTTCTATTTGCCTTCGTTATTTTGTTATTATACGTTGTTATTATAGTCGAAAAGATCATACAATTTCTTTGTATAGCCTAATTAGAATGTCTTAAAATGCAAAATATTATCTTTATATCCTATCTCAGTTAATTATTACGTATGAAGTTACCTTTGTTTTAGATTCAATAATTTTGTCGTAATTTTAATTGGGGAATTCTATTCGTAACGAGACTATATATAATGCGATTGCAACATTATACGGTCTTTACAAAAATATCAACGCGATGAAAAATTCGCTAGAATCGAACTTGGAGTAGACCCCAGTTTGCAATTTTGTAAGATATCCTCTGTCGCGAAGCTAAAAATCCTGCTGCAGAAGCAGCGACGATTTGCATTCACCGCGTATCACGACTGTGTTGTAATACGATGGATCTTAATGGATCTTAATGGATCTTAATCAGCGATGCTTTCGCGAAATTTACAAAAGTCCATTGATTGATCGTCAAGTATCAACGTGCACGTGTAAAGCACATTTGTCCGTCTCTCCTGTTTTAAACCCTGTAACGACGATCGACGTCGTCTGCAGTAATGGATTGCGTGAACAAAGGATTACCCTTCTCGAGCTGAAAATCAACGATGGACGTGCGACACACCGGTATCCTCTCGTAATCTCCCATTCCTATGATTTCGCGTTTAGATAAATTTACTACTGAAACGAGATCGATTCTCTTAAAAAATTAGCGTTATATATATTTAATTAATTATTTAATATATATTTTTGAAAAGAGTTATAGTTTTATAATGTTAAAAGATGTGCTAATAGCCATAAGCCCTTTTGGATATTTTATAAATAAGTTAGATTGTACCGCGCCGTCTATAATATAGGTCTTTCAATTTTTTGTTCTAACTTTCATGTCTTTTCGTTTCACAATATTATTATTTCTCTTTGATAGCAGAACGTTGAACCATGTACAAACGAGCACGTTGCGAAAGGCGCGAGATGCTTGTCGCGATCGACGCAGTCCACTATTGAACGCTTTGTACGTGCGCATTCGTAACAAAACACTCGACTAAAGAAACAATTCCCACATATCTGATTTGACTCGCGATCCTGATGATTATTAGCGTAGGATATAGCGTAGAAGAAAATATAGAGAATTTTATCGACTTTTTGCGCCTTTTGTACGCGGTATACACCCACTTTACACGTTATTTGTGATGATTGTCAATATTAAAAATGTACGAATACTATGCCATTAATATATTATTAACAAACATCAGTCGTGTATTTATTGCGCTCTGCGACTTCGAAGAAAAGAGAATGAGATCAACGCGAGACATGTGTCAGTCTCAAGAGCTTGGTATATTTATTTACATAGATATACGAAGTCGCACAAATATATAAAGTTACAATGATATAGTTCATCCGCCGTTTTCGCCATTCGTTTTCGTAGCGCGCGTGCAAAGGTATCCTCGTGTCATGGTAAATTATCAAAATTCACAAACTCTGCCACACATGTTTATGGTTACAATGGGAGCTATTATTAAGATGACGCAACTGAAAGATTCGGAACGCGTCATCGATACACCGTATAAATATGTGTTCTCATGTTTTAAGTATAAAACCGTACATTCATTTATTATTTGTCTATTATTTTTTATGAAATGAGATATATATCGAGAGAGTGGCAGCAGTTTGAAGATTTGTGTGCATTCTTATATATTTCCAAACAATCTCTGGATATGAAACGATGCTAAAGAAGATCTCCGGAAAAGCTATCCGTTAACTATTGCTCGTTTATAAAAATAGGCTATTAGAGATGCTGTGAACATTTCGGTCGAAAATATCGAATGTTAAATACCTGCGCGTCACCAAATATGAAATACTTATGAACTTTTGCATACAATATTTTAATCCGCCAAGGATATCAAAATATTGTATTTAAATATTTCTAAGTATATATATTATGAACGCACACACATATAGAGTGTAATGCGCTAGTATTCTTCGCGATTATATCATAATGACGGTTCTTTCTCTCTCTCTCTCTCTCTCTCTCTCTCCCTCTCTTTATCTCTCTTCTTGACGAAATAAATGTCTCGGTGCGGCTTCATATCCCCCAATACTACATGTATACGTATGTTTACCGAATCGTTTACATTTTATATAGAGAGATGAGCGCGTATCTCTGAGAGACTACAGAGCTATTGGATACAATGCACACATTAATTTACCTTACGTAGTATCGCGCAAGACTCCGTAATTATTTCATGTTAACAACTCATAATTTCTTACAAATATATATATATATATATATATATATATATATGTGGGTGTGCAGATCGGAAATATATAAACTGTTAACATATATTCGTTCGTTATGTAGTATATGATGGTTTAACACATGCATTCGCGACGTGTTATCATTTGACGATTTAATGGATAAATCTTATCTCGCGTTTAAGTACACCGCATTATATGCAGCATTTACATCGCTGAACCGAGGGAGCCTTACTACCTGAATCGAGTTTGAGCTTGTTCGACTTAAAATCGTCGAATTCTATCGACTAACGTTACCATTACAAGATACTTGGATGAAACGAGATGGGGATATATATATGGTACATGCGTGTATAGTAAAGACAAATGCTCTCTTTCTCTCTCGATTGCACACACAAGCACGGCATTTATACAATCATAGATTATGCATGCGACATCTTTTGTTGTTAAATGCACGAGTTTCGTAATCGATAACATTCTCTAAGAGGGCGGAACGCCGTGTCAAAAGCTGGCAACACGCTCGGCAACAAACTTGGTCAAACTTGAACAGTCACGCTAAACTTCAAACACTAATAAAGAAAGTAAAATATGACTAATTCGCGATTAAGTCTATGATAGAGACAAATGAATATAAAATATATTTTTAGGAAATGAAAATATTCCTAGGAGATAATTGTGCTATTAATATAGTTTATAAATTGTTCCTTTTTTTAAACTATTATTTTACTAAATGACGCTCTTTGTCGGACATACAGTTAATATATAGTAAATAAAAAACTGCAGATTTCACAGTCGGGATTACTTTGCAATGTCATATAGCAATGACATGAGATAGATTTATATGCGGATAAAAATTTTATTGGTATTATTATACCTATAAAATAAGTTCACGTGTTAGAAAGAGTTCATTGTGTATTGTTGTTTCTTGTGTATGAGGCCGATGTTTCAACATCACACACACAACTCGATAATGTTTGTATTTGATAAAACTTAATATTCATCGTTATAATGTTCGTTGAATCATTCTTTTCACTCTCTTGTATCACTTTAAAGACATGCACACACACATATTTCATTTTAAATTATAAATTAGGAATAAATCTATAAATTTTCTCTCAAGAAATTTTTATGATAGCGACTCAACTCTAACTGCATTATAATTAACACTCGGAGAATTGTAACAATGCATACATATACATGTTGTATTATAATATTTGCATGAGGAAATCACAATTTCGCTTATTTAACAACATAAAATTTCACACGCCACTTAATACATTTGCTTTATCAGACTCGGGCTAGAGAGAAAAGATCCGACAAGAGAAATTCGATGATAAGCGCTGCTTCCACGAGTACAAACATTCCAAAATAATTTAATCGCAGCCTTTTACAAATATTTTTTTGATAATTTCAAACATATAATTATGGTATATTGAATTTTAGTAGTACTTTAGTCCATCTGTCAATGTTGCCCTGTATTGAAATGAAAAGTAGGAGAGTTAAATATCCATAAACGCAATTGTTTATTAAACGCGACATATTCCACAATCAACTCCGAAAAATTACATTCACAACTAGTGATTTTTTTAAATTAATCTTTTTTTTTCATAAAGTCATCAAATTTATAGGGCTCTTTTAATATTATTAAAATAATATGAATATTTCCACAATTACACCATACTAACACAAAATATCGAAATGGAGCGCGCAAAGATGTGTGGCTTAATTTCATAATAATATCTAAATGTAATATTGGTATTATTCTTAAATTATCATTCGCACATAATAAAATAGCGACCAGCGTTGATTTCTTTTCGATTTATAAATAAATATTTATTATAGTCGCGAAATATATAAATTTGTAAATTGTAAATTAATTGTTCACATACCGCGAATTATCACATTATTAAAACATAAAGGATAATAGCGTTATATTTTTCCGATTGGATATTTTTCTTTTACAAGAGATCAGAAAAGATGAATTGATTCCTTTAGATCTGGATCGTGATTTAATCGTGAAATTACTATAACGTAATATATTATTGTCTTTATTTGCGAGTTTCGTGCAATGTTGGATTAAATATATTTTGAAAAAAAGAAAATAAAACTTAACAAATTGCATAATTCAAAAATACAAATGAAAAAACCAATTTACCGTCTTTTCGGGCGCATCCTTTCGAAAACATTAAAGAAATATTAAACACATATAACCAAATTGTGAAATAATCAAGCAATCTAGCCTTTCACGACATACATACAACTTATGTTCTTAATATTATTTAATTTAGCAATTATCGTACTAATTTAATTCGTTTAATCTTATACCTTCATTGCCATAATCCTGCATAGTTGCCGTACAGATTCGCGGGCAATGGACCACCTGCCGTAAATAGCCGGGTACCCGATGCGTCATAACAGTGGGTATAGATAGCAGGTGTATATTTCACATTTTGAAAGCCATCGATATATTCTTCATCAGGAAACTGATATTTCAAAGAATGAAAAAAATCGTTTTATAATAATGCATATAATACATTACATGAGGTGTCTACAAAACGCAATAGAATATTAAATTTAAGATTGGCGTGATTCCAAAAACATTCTGACAGATATGATTCTTTTGTTACTATTGTTAATATTTTCCCATGATGATACATAGCTTTGTAGACACATCATAGATATATACAGTGATTCAAAAACTTAAGCTAAAGTTGTTTTGGAGATTGTGATGGTCAAATAAAGCACATCTCAATCTCACAATATATTGATTGACTGTAGAATGTAATTATATAAAATGAATTGTCAATGTGAACGAATGAATCACTGTATTAGATAACATAAAACTTACCACATATCCTTTTGAAGCTTTTAATACAACAGTCCTATTAGAGTTTATAGAAGATTCTAGATATTTCTGAGCTCTGACATCATAAAACATAAGCATTCCTAGACCAGTTCCGATAGTTAGAACAGAACCTTGAAAACTTGCTGATCTAATACCACAACCGCTGTATCTGTATCAACAAATTTAAGATTTATAAATATATCGAGTATTATTAAGCAAAGCTAGAATACATCGGGAGAAAGAGGAAAAAAAACTTTATTTACCTTGAAGGTATCTTTTTAATTGGTTGCAAAGTACGTGCATCCAGAAGAAGAGTATAAGATCTACATCCAATTGCATAAACACCATCGTCTTGTACTGCAAGACAAACATTTTCCTGGCAGGCTGGCAGTTTTCTGGATATTTTCTGTTTGAAGGATTCGGCCGACCAGATATGTATAAAGCTATTGAGCGTCAATGCTGCGATTTCCTTGTATGCTTTATTAAACGCCAGCGCGCGTACCTTCTGAGCAGACTTGCATTCCTTTACACAGACAGCCTGAATCAATCTATAAACAGTAGATAATAAGATTACTAGAAATTACTAATTGTTAATAACTAAGTTAATTACTAATTAAAAAATTACATTGACATTAATAATCAACATTAATAATTAATAAGAATTAATAAAAAATTATTTTTATCTTCTTTTAAGAATCTTGACTTTTCAGCTATTAGACGAAAAAAAAAAAGAAAAAAAAAAAATTACATGATTTTTCGTTTTATAATTCTAACATAGCTACAAGAAATGTTACAAAATTGATATCTTGATCTTAATATTACATTCTATTTTACCTGTGTGTAGGCACATCTGCTTTGTCAGGTGCTTCAGCAAGATCACTATCAATACGCCACAGTGCCATTTTCGTGTCCCTAGAACCCGACACTAAAAATTCATCGTCGAGCCAACACATGTCAAACACCCAATCCCTATGACCGCTCTCGCCGACGCAAACCGGATCCAAAGTCGGTAATCTATATATCGCTATTTCATTACTATTTCTCGCTCCGGTGGATAAAAGAGTTCTACAAGAAAGAGAAACACATGGATCAATTTCCATAGATTTGTGAAATTGAATCTTCTTTTCGCGCATGACGTAAGAATGAAAAGGCAAATGAAATTACCTCGAGGGATTAATTTGAACGGAATGAATGCCGCATTGCTGCTCGGGCATAACATTGCCGCCCGGGCTAAGCTGTCTTCCGTGAAGAGACGGAATCTGATCTAGCTTCTGCGTCGCCACATCATATACCATGAGCTTATTGCACTTTGTACCAAATACCACTTGTCTGTCACTTAACCATTGCGAACAGAACACTTTATTCATATTGTTCAAGCTGACCGAGTACTCCTTGAATAGATCGTGTGTCAGTATATGTCGGGAACCGTATTCCTGATTGATTTTTCGCACTTCGCGCGTGTTTGTTTCGCGTGCGCGCACGTAATCGACGAAGTTGAACGACGTTCTCAGGAATTGCTTGCCTTCGGTCACTGTCTCCGCTTCATCATCACTAGATTCGTAGCACACAAAATCATCCGGTTTATCCGGCTTTCGATTTCTCTCGTGTCGCAACGCCAATCTGCAAAAAAACGAAGAATTGATGCTTGTACAAGGTATATTAAAATTGATACATTATATAATATATTTTACTCTGTACTTAATATATTTACCTCTTAGCCCGACGCTCCTCCAACCTGCTATTACTGGCACATGGAGGATGTCTTCCATACACAGTCATTCTTTGTGTCTCAGCCATTATAGTAATTAAAAATTTAACGGAGACTTTATAATTATTCAGGCAACTTGCAAGGAACACTGAGTATTATTATTGAACAGGAAAGTCTTATTAACAAACTTAAGAACGATACTGAAAGTGATCATTTATGTGAAAACATAAATTTAAAAAATGATATTGGCAATGTACAACTTGAACAATATCTCTACGTATAAGCAGTCTCTTACCAGCTATTAGTTACTTTTGGCGTCTTTCCTTTTCTTCTTTATCTCTCTTTCTCTTTCTTTCTTTATATCCAAATGTTTATTTATTTATAAAATTTTGGCAGCTTATATCGCTAAGATCTAATCAATAGATTCACTTTCAAATCTCTTGTAATATGTTTAAAAATATTTAAAAACTTCAGAGAAAAGAAGAGAGAACTCATGAAAAGTTTGCTTCTTATTTCGAGGAAAGATGAGTAACTAATAAAATGATGAGACACAATAGACCCTCTCAAGCTTGAAACTTGCTGCACTAAGGGGGCTAAACTGCTTCTGATAACAAGTTCTTGACTTTGAAATTAAATATTAATCATTGATAGTTATATTTATATCATCAATTGAATCTTTTTCTTGATATAGACTTTATACATTTTTATCTCTAGGATAAACACAAATTAATAAAATGTTTTATAAATTAATCCCCAGCTGTTTCATGCAAGTTTATAAATTTCTTTAAAAGTAATTGACTGACTTTTATTTGTTATAATAAATCAAATATAAATTCTCTCATAACCCAATGTAAAAATTTAAAATATAAAATATTTTATTTAAATAACAACAGTGTGTAAGTAGAGGCTGTTACAAGACACATTTTTACCAGGCATGTTGAGAGTGGCTTTCGATCTAAAATAATCAATAGAGATCTTTAAAAATATGTTTGTAATATAATATATAATCTTATTTATTTTTTATACAAAACCTTTTTTCTTTTGAATTAAACTTTTTAAACTTTTAAAAGTATTATCATAGAATATTTGTATGTAATTGTATCATATAATAATGATACAATTGAAAACTTTAGCAGAGAATTGATAACAATATTCCGCGAGACAATGTAAAATAAAAATTAGTGCCTTACTAACAGTAAGATAAATTCTGACAATGACTAGAAAAATATAAAATAACGAATATATGACAAAAGGGACAAAAAAAATTTTTTTTCTGTATTATTATGTTTTGCTTTACGTGTATGTAGGTATTTTTCTTAGTCTTTGTACATTTTTATCGCCCAGACATTTTCTTTGACAAAAATGACATCTCTGGATTGAGTAATGAATAGCAAGCGCGATTGTTCGTCTCGGAAATTCGTTATCGTTTATCGTAGGGGATCCTGATGAAACAGATCATTGCTTACCGTTGCTTTGCATTAGTTTTCCGCAGGAGAATAATACTACGGGAGAGTTGCGAGGCATCGATTCATGGTCCGGTGCCACGGCATTCGTTCGAGCAATCGAACCAAAAAAAGATCCTCTTCGTTAACTTAATGGATATTCAATACGAATATATATCAAGATATATTAACATAACTTGATATATCTGTCCTGGATTGGAACGCAATACCACCGCTTTAATGAAGGAAGGTCAACCGTGGCTGTCAAGCGATACTCGTTACCATTGTCGTTGTATCGGCAAAACGACCCGTATAACTTTGTTCTCTTATCCGGACGCAGGCGTGCGTCGTTCGTGCGATATTTCGAGTACGGTTCGATCCGAGGAGATTACGTTGAGCCGGGATGATCCAGCGTGGTCATGACGAGCGGAGAAACGCACGAGATGACTGCGCGAACGACGGCACCGCCATGTTGAAAGCGACACTTCAGCCTCTTAATAACGCCGACAAAGCATCGATAGCATCCCGATCGTGTTCTCGGCGAATGGCGACGTTTATTTTGACAACGTGACCGAAGCGATCGGCATCGTTAACACGTGCGCAATGATTCCCGAGGGTTTTTCATCACGCACGTTTTCGCAACTGTCAACATCAGCTTGATGGCCCCCCCCCCCCCCCTTCGCCGCAGATCATCTGAGTTTCCCCCTCCCCCAATCCCAGCAAGTTATGCAGCATTCACACTATCGATATCCGATATCCAATAGAAAACTTTTGTTTCTAGATTCTTAAATATTACTAGAAAATAAGTTCTTCTATTAGTGCGTTCCATTTGATGCCGTTCGACGAAAAATTTCAAAGCGTCTGATTGTCCAATTAGAACAAAGGAGATTTTGCTCTTTTCGTTCCGAATCAAACAATTCGTAAGTATTGTAGCCTCAAACGGAACGCACCTCTAGATAACGTAACTACAAAGAACAGACCTAAAATGTTATGCATTTCTCATTCGTATTGTTGATATTTTAAAAACATGGCATCGTTCAAAAAGATAAATACTAAAGTATATACTAGAGCGGGGCCGGAATTAACGGAGGATAATATATATTGGAAGAAATATACAGTACGTATTTAAGATTTGTTTGTAAAAAAATGATTGAAAATAATTTCTACCGACACGTGCGCGGAACATAACCTATGTATGAATTAACCTAAGACGTATTCGCTCCTCTTTTCGCGTTCAATTTTGAGGCTTACATTCTTGAGAACGATATTAATTTCGTTTATGAAATATATTAAATTTGCATTTCTTTCTTGGCGGGATATGAATTTGAATTAAGATGTAACCGCTTAATTATTAAATCATTTATGTGTATTTATCATAAATTGTTGATGTTTTTATATAAAACCATTTTGTCAACTATGCTCCTTTCACATTTATCTACAATTATCACAGATATAAGATTATTTCTTTATTTCTGTCGCATAACGGTAAATTGTGTATATAAAGAATGAAAAATTGCTTATGTATTATATGTTTACAGCCACCAGTTTTAGTAAAAGAATTTGGTCCGATTGACTACATCGACTTCTCACCAGTAGAACCGCATTATTTCACAGTTACTTGCTCTGTACGAGTACAAATATATAATCCTATTACAAAGCTGGTCACGAAAACTTATAGTAGATTCAAAGAGGCTGCATATGGAGGCTGCTTTCGTAGAGATGGCAAGCTGTTATGTGCCGGTGGCGAGGAAGCAGTGGTCAGACTTTTTAACATTGGTTCCAATAGTATGCTACGGGTTTTTTCTGGGCATAAGGCTGCAGTGCATAGAGCTTTTTTCACAGCTGATGATCATCATATTGCTTCATTTTCTGATGATAAAACTGTAGTATTGTGGGACATACCTAGTGAGAAACAACTGACAAGTTTCAATGAACATACTGATTATATCAGAGCTGGTGCAGTGAGTCCCGTGTCCACTGATGTATTATTATCTGGTGGATACGACAAGATCATACATATGTATGATGCCAGAACAAAAAAGAAGATACTTAGTGTCAATCATGATGCACCAGTAGAGAGTTTACTCTTCTTGCCTACTGGGGGAATATTCCTGTCTGCAGGTAGTGTTTATGATGCTCTAATTAATGTATAATTAAAAAATTAATTACTATATATAATTTAAGATTTTGTTTTCTTATATAGCAAAATGTTTATTTTAAGGTGGGACTGATATCAAAGTGTGGGACGCTCTCGCAGGAGGCAAATTACTCGCAAAAATCACTCAACATCACAAAACAGTGACTTGCTTGAAAATCGCCTCCAATGGTCATAGAATATTGTCTGGTTCGTTGGACAGACATGTCAAAGTTTACGACACTGGGACATACAAAACGCTTCATACTTTAGACTATCCCAATGCAGTTCTCAGCATAGGAATTAGTGTAAGAAAAAAAACACGCATTCTATATTATACATATAAAATCTATATTTGCATCTATATTTATCTATTTGATATTCCATATATTTGGTATATTCTATTATTCATTAAATTGAGCAGTTTATAGGAATGGATACTAAATGCATTAATATTAAATTGTAGGAAGGCGATGAGACTGTCGTAGCCGGTATGGTCGACGGTCTAATCTCTGTCAAAAGACGCGAGGAAGACGCGAAAGACGTGGTAAAACCGAAACGTAAAGTTTCGTATAGACACGCGGGTGAAAATCTGCACGTGCGGAGCGTCGACGTAGTCATGCAACAGGAAGTTAAAGAGATAATGAGCAAGCACGATGCTTGTCTGCGAAAGTTTCAATATAGTAAAGCGCTCGACTGTGTCATGATGAATTATGTGGTCAACAAAACACCGCACGTCACTGTCGCTCTTACACAAGAACTTATCAGACGAGAAGGTCTAAGGCGAGCTCTGGCCGGCAGGGACGGCAAGTCCCTGGTCAATATTGTTAAGTTCTTGAACAAATATATCGGTAGTATCCGTTTCGGAAGAGTATTATTGCATGTAGCAAACGTTTTGTTAGGTAGGTTTTAAATATCTTGTTCTCTGGATTTTCTTTCCAAGATATCCCGCATGTTTTTTTGATTAATAAAACTTGTTCTTTTGTAATAGATGTGTATGAAGATCATTTGGATGAACTCTCGGAGGAATCACGGAAAATGTTCGCTATACTAGCACAAAAGCTGCAGGAAGAGGAACAATTAATTATAGCCTTGACGCAACTACAGGGTTCAATGCAAATGATACTGTCCGGCGCTGAAACAGTTCCTTTACCTGCTATAAAAGACAATCAGAGTATGGAGCCGTCAAACGCCGCTCAAACGGAACGCGATCTCGTTTTGAGTATAACATAAATTTAACGAACGCAAAACATCATCAAATTGTAATATAATGTTTTCTGTACATATCTTTGTGATTTAGCATTAAATTTTTTGAAATAAATAAAAGTGATAATATTTTAATATTTTTATTTATGAACTTACGCTATTTCTCGGTGAAAACTTAGGTTTATATATATTTCAAGTGAAGAATAATATATTAATCTTCACATGTTAAAATAATAATTTTTTTTCCAAATATATGGTAAGTTTTGTAGGAAGAGCATAGCGCAAAAAATATTTATAATTTATAAAAATAACATTTATATAAATTGTGTAGCTTAATTTGAAATAGCATATCAAATTGTTTATTTCTTTAGGTAAACTTACATTGACGCGTTATTCGTTTATTTTAAGATGTATCCTTATTGAGGCATTTTTGCCATGCAGCAGAAGATGGTTTTTCAGGCATTATCCATCCAATCGGTATCGTTGTTGCATCGTTTTCAGAACTTATAAATCTATCCCAAGCCGTACTGAAATGCAATTATTTTCATTATTGAAAGATTTTTGATATGTCATTGTATGTCTGAACATTAAATGCATACCGAATCAAGATAAAACTATTCAAATCCTTGTTAGATTGCTCAGCAGCCAATATATTTATTCCGAATAGTGCACTCTCCCAATCGGCAAATAAATTTTTCGTTTCTTTTTCAATTCTTTTTTCATTATCCGTTTTCAACATTAAGTTCAATTCCTGTTCTTCTACTGCATATTCGCGATCCAAGGTAGTCCATTGTTCTGTTAATTTAGCTGTAAAGTATATTTTATAACAATATATTATTAAAAATGTAATAACATTTGTGTAATATATAGCAGTTTCATTAAAAAAAATGTGATACAAATAAAAATCTTATTTTCTGTTATTGTATTCTATTACTGTGAATTTCTATATTCTTTTTCTGTGATTCCAATATTTTTGCTATATTCCATTATTGAATTTCTCTATTCTATCATTTTTTATTATTGATTTAATTCTATATTATGTGATTATTAAAATAATTTCTGCTTTCATTCTCTCGACGATTTTTGCTTTCTTAAAAAGTGCCACATCATGATTTTATAAAAAAATTTAACATATACTGAGATATAAAATATTACCAATGTTACGCTTGAATGCTTCATCAGTTGCAGAAGATAGTTTTTCGCCTCTCGCTTGACCAATTGTTATCTTGATGTTTCGTAAGTTTTGTAACTCTTGCAAAATTTCTAGATACTTTCGCGCATCGCTTCTCTTATTGCGAACATCGGACAAGATCGTGTCCGCGTCCCTGCGCAGATTCTTCTCTTGTTTCTCTTGTTCAATTACTGCTTGTTCCTTTCGAATCCATGCATCAGCCTCTGCATGTAATCTTGCTCTTCTTTCTTCCTTTATTGATTTTTCCTTTTTCCACTCTTCTCTTCTACGCCGTTCCCTCGTACGTTTTTTCTTGCGTTTCTTTACATCATTCTTAAGTTTATTTAGAAAGTCTGTATCTTTTACAGTTTTCAAGATTTCACAAATTTCATGCTTTACAGCATTACAAGCACTGACTTTTTCCTGCCATTCTATTTCCGATAAATTAACATTGTCTTCAAGTTCCACACAAACGGTTTCAAGTTGCTTATTTAATTTAGTCACCGATATTAATGCACTCTTGATAGCCGCGATCTTAAATGCTTCTTTTTTTTTGCTTTTGACAGAAACTTGTGATTCGGTCTCTTGGAGAAATTGCTCAATGTTTCTTTCATCTTTTTGTCGTGTTCTTATTCTATCGACTAATGTTGCATTATTAACTGTACCGTTATCACATGTTATATGGCTTGGATAAACATTATAGTACATATTTCCGCTGTAATTTGCATTGTATGGAAATGATTGTTGAGTTGTTGGATAATACATGTTGAAATGCACATTTTCATAAGTTTGCCCAGTATTTTGCTGGGATGATTGACCACTATACATAATTGTTAAATATATATTCAATTGCAAGCAATATAAGAAAAAGAAACTTGATACTATAATGTTTTCAAGTGTAAAATTAGTTTGCTTTGAACATAAAATTAGTAAGAGTGAGAAATAAAACTGTAGAATAATATTTAAAAATAATCTAGCAAAAGAGTCACAGAGGGAGCACTTTTTAACACATCTGCAAAATGTCCCCTTCTTTCGGTAGCTGTGCTTCCGCCTCTTGTAACACTTTTTCGGCTTCGATATAATCCTTGACTTCCTTCAAATCTTGTTCAGTGTCCAGAATATTTTTGAGTTCTTCAAATGCTTTAACGAGACGCCTTTGACAATCTGGTACCATCATCAAAGATTCTTGAAGCACCTCCTCTTGCTTTTTTATATCGTAACCATCTTTATCTACAAGATATTTTATCATTTTTATATAAATAAAACTTGTTCAGCAGTAATAATTTAGTAATGTCATTTCGAAATCTTGAAATTAAAAAGAGAAGATATTTAAAAAAGTTGTAGAAAACGTAAATGTATTAAAACATTAAAACACCTATATAAGCATTTTAACAAATACATATTTTGAACATTACGCATTAAACAAGTACTTGGAAATTATATTGGACGAATCTAGTTACGAAACGAATCGTTTTGAGATATTTCGCGCGCGGGATTGACTCTTTTTCTCCTCGCGGCTAAAAATAATCCTCACCCTGCTCTTTCAACTTTTGTATCCTTTCGCGCTGCTGCGTCACTTCTTTCTCGTACGTGATCTTTTCTTTCGCAAGACGCTTAACTACTCCCGTCTTAATCTTGAGTGTTCTTAAACGGGGATCGGACATTATTTATCGTACGTTTGCGCGGATATTTTATCTCTCGAAACGTAAAAATGTGAGATGCCAGAGAGTCTTAAAGGATCTAAAGTTCCTTTGTGATTTTTTTCTTTCTTTTTACCCTCTTGCTTTATTAGGCGAGATGAGTCGAGAAAAATAAATCGTAGCGTTGACACCGCGACGCGACAAGGAGGTTATGTGTCCGCTACGCGCGTGCGCGAACTTCGCCTCGTACCAGCCAACCGCTTGACGTTTGCAGAGGTTTCGATCGGTCATCTTCGTCAAGCTTCGTGAAAATTCGTATCGATACGTACTTCACACTTCACCGCGTTATATTTTAACGGTCATTCGTGACGTACCTCCGACATGTCTCTGCTTCGTCGTAATTTTTATCGTGATTTTCAAGTGAGTATCGCAAAATCCTCGAGTCATCGTACAGCGAACGGCAAGGTACGTAGAGTTATCGTTATCAGAAGCACGATAAGGACGTTAAGCGGACTTTATTTTCGTCCCATGCAATATATTTTTTGTTTTGTTCATGGAGAAAACATATCGAACATTTACAGTTTATTCACACAACACGATAATTTTCCGAAGGCCGATAAAAAATATCGATAAAATATACAATAAAAAGTGTAGCACATTGCAAGTGTTTTCATTGATATTATAAATTACATTATATTATAAATTCTAATAACGGTCATACAAATTCAAGAAAATGGTGCTAAGTAGAAAGTAAATTAAAAAATGACGAGTATATTATATTTTCGAGAAACATTTGCTAAATTTCTAATTATTGAAATTAATTTTAACAAAATTCTAGCTTTTTTCCGCGCGCGAATAATCGAAATATTTAATAAATTTCGTCGACCATTTTTCAGCAAAAAATCCGTACGGCGCTGCATTCGATCTTCCCCGCGGTAAAATGCGACCGCCTATAAAGCGCGCAATGTTGGCGAGCCTGGGCGGCGTGCCCGTGCCCGGGGCCGACTGCCGACTCGCGGCTAAGTTCGCGCCATGCGCAGCCGAGCGTGCCTGTCGCCTGTCGCACCGCACTCCGCCAGCGGTCAGCGCTTCCGCAGAACGAAGTGCCGCACCGTTGTACGTCGCAACGAGACGTGCCGTGCGGTAGCGAGACTGAAAGAAGGAACAAAGGAGAAAGAGAGAGAGAGAGAGGGAAGAGACGCGAGGGTGGTGCGGCCACTAGCGCATCCGCCGTCGATGGATATACATCCACGAGGAAGGTGTGATGCGGCTCACACGATGGTGGACAACGAGTTCCCAGCCGCCGAGAAAATCCTTCGTGACATTGAGAATACGATTAGGAGGAACCCCGCTATGTGAGTGTCATCCTTTCCTTTTACACTTGTTCGCCGGGCGTGCGTTTTGTCATTTCGTTACCTTTCACGTTCTCGTGACAGGCACGGATCCGGAACCGGTAGACTTTCCGTGCTCCTCGATTTTCGATATCAGAGAAAGAGATAGAGAGAAGTGCGCGAAAAAAGAATGTCCTTCACCGATTATCGCGTTCAAACATACGTTGCATCGCACTTGCATTTGAACTCGGCGCAATTATTCCTTTCAATATATCCTTCTTTTGCGGAATAACTACCGTAATTCGTGACGTTACTTCTGCTCTTTTTAAGCTGCGTTTTCTACATCCAACAATCTCTTTTCCTCCGCCCAAAATCTAAATATACACGCATTTGTTTTATTTCAAATCTGCAGAGAAGTATAAAAAAGAAAAGTGCGTATGCGCGAGAGAAGCAGGCGTGCGTGTTATCGATTTAAAATCACCGCGGATATCGCGCAGCGAAGAATCCTAACCTAAATAAAACTACGTGCGTGAGCCCAATTTCCGAGTCCGCACTACACACCGGCAACAAAACACGCATCCCGTATCTCCCGTATCCCGTATCCCGTGCGTCCGCCGGGCTTGATTCGCGCAGTTGCGAGGGCGGAGTCTTTTTCGGGGGAGGGAGAGGAAGACAAAAAAAAAAAAAATAAATAAATAAATAAATAAAGAAGCGTGTGTGTGCCGCGAGATTTCTCGCGCAAATTGTAGTCAGTCGACCTCGCGATTTTAACTCGACGACGATCGATTTCGTGTCGCGCGAGAGCTTTCGCCCACGCGACAGGCGACAGGCGACAGACGACAGACGACAGACGACAGACGACAGACGACAGACGATACCGCCGCTACGGCAACGCTACGGCAATGCTACGACACTACGGCAATAATAATCGCAAAGTTGACAGTCGATCGCGAGTCGACACGACACATGCGTTGCAACTATAATTGACTGCCGCTCTAGACCGTAATCTATCAAGTATTTAGACAGAAAACGCGCTCAGAGAGAGAGAGAGAGAGCTGCTTGATTTAACATTAATTGTTTCGATATCCTATTATCACGGACTCTCTATTGGGATTTTTATTGCGCTTGAAAAAGTCATGGAATAAATAAGTGTCTATTCGTATCAATAATCGTACTAACAATAAGAATCATTTTTAAAATCCTTGGAAATTATTTTTATTTGTGCATTCGTTAATATTTCTTTATGTTGAAAAGATACTGCAGTGTCATAATTATCAGATATTACGTTGATCTTGACAAATTACACTCAGCTTTCACAATCTTGCTCCAAGAGTAATTAAAACTAATTTTCTTAAGCTTATTTATATATAGCTCGTTTAAGCTTGTTCAACTCGATATATATTTAGAGAGAAGGTATATATAAAAAGAAATTAACAAGCGTTATATTAATGATTTATTTTAATTTTATCCTTTTCGATTTAAAGTTAAATATATTTATATTTATTAATAATATATGCAAAATAAAATGGGCTTATTAAAATTTCGAGTGTTTCGAATGAAATAAAGCTGATTAAAATCGGTCTTCAATTAATTTTCGTGTATCGAGAACGCTATTAATCTTATTATCCTAGTTTCACTCGAGCCCAGGTCTAAAATAAACACGTGTTCGCGACTATGATCGGAAAAAAAGATAAAGCGGGAAAGCGTGGAAAGAGGGCGTACATACAACAGAAACAGGGTCGAGATGTGCGTGGCAAATAATCAGCTGCGTCCGGCGCTCGTCAAGTAGCGCCATCCGGGGAACATGGAGCGTTAATAATTTTTGCGGCTTGTTTACGATCCTTAATTCCACTTGCGTAATGCGACTTGGTTAATTGCTCGATTATTTTGATCTCGAGTCCGAGTTTTTATGTGTGTTGGCGATCGCGGAGGGAATTTTACGCAGTTTCTAGTATTTTAGTGAATTCTCTCTCTTACTCGTTTGGAGAGAAACTTATTACTTCCGATATATGTACGTAATTATATAAAGTTGTTATCTCAACATTCTATAAGTTTGATGCAAAATATTATTTTACGTATCTTATAATTTCCAAGATATCAAGCGGAATTACCTACCTCGAATAAGCTCGAATAAGCTACCTCTCTATAGCATAGAATTCAATCTTTATCGAATTAGAGAAGAATCGTTATAAATGTTTCCTTGTGAATATTGACAGTTAATAGACTGTTGTTTGCATTGTTCGATTAACCAAGGTCAAGGTTGAGCACAGACACGACGAGACTTTGAAATTCATCGGCGAGAGGTAAAATCTCGATTCGTACCGATATCTGCGCATTGCGGTACATTTGCTGTATTATTAATTCTTACGTTTAATATTTTAGGCTTTTAGATACGCGTTAGTAGCATTGCCGACTAGAATATTGAATCGATAATTGTTTAATGAGCGCGTTATGTTCAATTCTTTTTATCGCTGAAAAAGTTTATAACTCTGTTTTATTTTTTTATCCCTCGCCTGATATTTTTTTACTGACAATGAGATATTCTAAAAATATATAGCAATATTATTTATTGTAATGTTAATATTATTAAGAACATATTTATTACATAGGCAGATTTAGTAGGACTTTTATGTTAAACATTACATATATCTTATCAAGTTTATATATAACAAGAAATATATCAATGCACGTAATATTCAGAATTTTGATCAATATTATATCAATATATTTTTGTATATAGCTTTTCTTTACATTAATTTAAAAAGAAAATTCTCACCGAAATTAGAAAGAGCATGAGAGGGGAGCGAGAGGGAGACAAAGGGAAATTTTACGATCGCGACTTCTACCTTCCCAGAAAAAGCTTCGTGATCCTGCCGATGGAGGACAACGAGAATCGGTCACCGGTGTTTCACCAGGAGGATAGTCTGGGTTTGGCGTCGTGGTGCGTTCAGCCGCTCTACGTATACGTTTATCGGCGCCTGTTGGAGTACCGGCGTACACGTCATCAACGGCGCGAGGAACCCAGCACGGTGGCGAGATGGTTGCTGGGTGCCTTGCTGCTAAATCCGAACGTGACCACGTTCTGGAATATGCGGCGGGAGTTGATGCGCGCCGGCAGATTGGACGCGCGCGACGAACTGTTGATCACACGACCGGTGCTCTATCACACGCCGAAGAACTTCGAGGCCTTCGCGTATCGGAGCTGGCTGATGTCGCACGCTCTGGATGCCGAGCGGAACCACGTCGCCGAACCCGGGATCTCGCCCCTCGCGAGCGCAGAGGTCGAGCTTGCGGAGACCTGCGCCGATCGTTACGCGAACAACTACCACGCGTGGAGCTATCGGCGTCACTTGGTCGCCCTGTGCGAGTCACGCGGTTTACGACATCCCAGTCTCGAAAGCGAGTGGAGGAGTACTCTCGCTTGGTGCCGGCGACACGTGTCCGACCATAGCGCTCATTCTTATCGGCAATTTTTGCTGCGAAAGTGCATGCTGGCAATGGTGTTCCCGGAAACAGAGACGGATGACGATGACACCGTTAGACACGACAATCTGTTCATTTACATGAACCTCTACGAACCGAACGACGATGAACGGACGTTGTTAGAACGTATTCGCGATATATTCGCGCGTCGCGTCCACGGTTACTCGCCCATCGACGTTCGCAAACTCAGATGTTACCTAAGGGCGTTGTCGTATTGGGCGGAGGAGTGTTGGAATAACGATCAGCTCATCGTCATGTACGACAACCACGAGACGTTGTGGTATCACCGCAGGTTCTTGGCGCACTCGCTCGTCGTTCTTACTGTCATGTACGCGAAACACGCCTGTTACCGCGAGGACGAGTTTTCGGACGTTCAATGCCGTGACGAGCCGTCAGTCGCGCCGTTCCTTCGCGATGGACCCCTGAATACTCGCGACGACTTGCTGATAGCCGCTCATGTGATGCTCCTAAGATCTTTTTGCACTGTTAATATTCGTATCATTCAAGTAGCGATCGAACGCGGTCCACGGGAGAATCTAGTAATCGAGAGATTCTCCAAATATCTCGGCAGAATAGGTTTACGATGATCACGACTAGCGCGCTAAATTTTGAATATGAAAAAAGATACAATTATATAAGCCACCCGTCTCGTAAGGTTTTGCTTATATCAGAATTTGCGTAAGCACAGTGTGCAGTCTCGTGAGAGGGGATTGTACATTAATACTCGCACTATAATTTCAATATTATTCCTTTTTCTTTTTAATTTTCGGATTTAATATCGTCAAGCCGTATCCGATGCATCCAATGTAATTCAGCAGCATAACTACATCTAGCATTTATTTTAAAACAGTTGCGAAAATATTATTTGTTATCAAATATTGTCTTCTTTTTAAGAAGAGATTTTTAATATTATTAAAATATTTCAAAGGGACATTTGTCTTGCTGTTACTCTCTCAATGATATTTAATTTTATAAAATTGTTTAATTTTATTCATATATATTTAAAAGGGAAATAAACTCTTATTTTTAAAAAAGGAAGGCCTTTCAAGAAAGCCTAAGATATATTCAAATTAAAAGTAAAAATATTCAACTTTTATTTTGATGTAATTATTTGATCTTTTTAAGGAGAACAATTGTTCGTATTACAGAAATATTTTAAAAGTATAGATAGATATATTTTATCTATGAAAGTTATCTTTTAGAAAAAGAAAACTTTTCGTAAAATTTAAAAATATTGCAATATGTGGTGCTCAATTCTTATTATTCTCTTGCGATTATTCGCGAGGCAATAGCCTTCGCACGTAGATAAGAGCACGATTGCGATAAGCAGAATTCAATGTAGGTAAGCGAAATTGAATCCTTATCGGCATTAATTAATTTTCGTATTCGCTCGCGTAGCGAACACGAGTCATCGAGTACACCAGTGATATAATATATGTATAACTTTGGAGAACGATAGTTTTACCCGCTTGCGACACTTTAACAGATTCCATTGTGTCTTGTCACAAGTGAGTAATCTTACTATCAGAGATGACTGAGATTAAAGGACTGTCAATCTAAGCAGTCTTATCAACTAGACAACAGCTCTAACGCAGAGTTAACTGTCAGTGATACGTAAAAATGAAATATAATATAAAACGAAATATAGATATGCGAGAGAGATAAAGAAAAATTTGTCTCGCCGAATAAGGTCTCCGTCAGAGAAGAGGGGGGAAAAGAGTTGCGAAAACTTGTCGCGAAAAGAACAATTATGTATACTTGTGAAATTGAACGAGAAAAAATGAAGAAGATGCTAGTTTTCTAAAATTGTATTTTTTTGTGCGAACGCCCGCCTCTTTACCAATTTTTCCTGAGATATAGCTGGGGCCCAAAAATAGAATTATATAGAATTTCTAATATAATAATTGTCTTCCCCTCTACTATCATGTAGCTCCTCCTCATTTCCTTAGGTCCCAAAAAGATCGCATCTTTTTGGTGCTCCATGTTACAAAACATTCGAAAAGTTTTCAAAAATCACTTGTTCAAAAACATTTTACACAACGATCGGACACACTGTTTGACGAGCGCGATAACTATATAATTACCTGTCAGCTGCGTTCGCTTTCTGGCACGGCGCAATAACCAAAATAAACCTTTAACTTTTAACATACGTCTCGCGCGTCAGTTGTACGCGGCCACTCGCTCTATTCGCGCACAATTCATTTTTCGTGCTGATCGTTTTTATTCGCGTTCAATTATTTGACACCTGCAAACATACATATATATTATATATATTATATGTACATTTCTATTTATTTCGTTTATTTTCGAAATTTCAAGAAAGACTCACGTGCCGCAGTCAAAGGATTAAGGGCTTCACGTAAGCGTTGTATTACGGTGATATAGTACGGACCTTGCAAATTTGCGAGAATAAACTTCGACTTTGAATTTAAAGACTTTTTTTTTTTAACGCAAACATTTGTTGGTTTTATAATTCGTACATTTAACGCTCGCAATCGCGCGACAATTTCGCGATACGCATAAAAATAAACTTTCAATTTTTCATTTTTAATTTGAGACATCTTTATAAATAAACAGAGATTTTATTGTTTCTATTTTTTCATATTTAATTATTATTTGAATTATTTTATTATTATAATGGTTACACTTTTTTTATTATTATCTAAGTTATTATTATTTGTGTTTAAGTATTACTTTAATTGTGAAATTATATTTTAAGAAAAATGATATATATTATTTGATATAATACAATAATATTATAATCATCGCGATATTCAATCTTTATCGAAGAAACATTAATTCTTTTTATTTAAATTTTAGATACTTATCGCATTTAATATTACTAAGTTTACTACACTAATATTACTAAGCGTGTAGCATATGTCGAAGTATCGGCATTCGTTCTTTGGCACGACATATCACGGCGAAAATAAACCATCGAGTTTTAACTCGGCCTTTCAATCATGCGCGAACGTTTATTACATGTAGCCAAACGCTTATCACACGTGCGCTTATCACTTTCGTGTTTAAATTTTAAATAATGTTTTTTTTTTTTTTTTTTTTTTTTTTAAGTTTTTAGTGTTCACCGTTCGACGTCGAATATTCTTTCTCTCGCTCTTCGACGAGAGAGATTCTCGACGTCATAAAAAACTGCGTCAACTCTTGTCTCTACAAAGTCTCGTAAATTCCTAGAAACCGACGTACACCAACAACTAAACTCGCGAATTGTAAATAAACGGCGGTTGATTCACTAATACACACGAGAAGTGATATACCTCTCTCTGGCAGTATGACGTTGATTGTGAAAGCTTTGCGTGCGGTGTAGTTTTTGTTAAAATGCAATAGATCCTTGCCAACAATCTCGTTCTATAATATTTAAAGATATTACATTTAAGCGAAAAATATAAAAATCGATTTTCAAATTAAAAATGATAACAAAAAAATTGATTTAACTTTCGCGATATTCCATTTCGATAATAGCGCGATAGATGCATCTATGAATGATCGATTAAAGAATGCAATATCAAATAATAAATCTTATCAAAATTGAGTTAATTATATATTCAAAAAATTAATTAATAACTTATTTATGGAATATTTAGCAAAAAATTTTGTTCTAAACATTATTTTTATCATACATCTACATTTCACTTTGTTAATTAAGATTTTAAATTAAATGCGGTTAAATTTAAATTTTTGTGTCAAAAGAAAAATATCGAATTAATAAAATTGTCAATGATAAATAATCACTATATAAAGTGTCATTATACATCAATTTTAATAAATTTTTTATAATCTGCAATGTGATGAATTTTTTAAAATTTTATAGTTGCATTAATTTTTAGATCTCTATAATAATGAAATATATAATGTGCATAATAATATATAGTACAAGAGAGCGATAATCGACGTAATTGTGTTATTTTACAATAATAGTAAATATAGATTTGATATAGTAATCAATAACAAGAATATATCTTATCGCCCTGATCATTCATTGATACATCCATTCTAGCTGTCACACCATTTATATTCTCAATAATCCATAATATCAGATTGTCGCTTCGAGTGATTCAGGGTCTCGGTTGATCTCGCGCGCGATTATGAAAATAGATCGAGTCTCTAATTCAACTGGCAAGAGATAGATCAATGAATGGGAAAGAGAGAAGAAGCGATATCGCAGTAACGTCATCGTACGCGAATAATTCCGACGCGCGTTACGATGATGCGAGGAAGCGAGGAAGAGGCGAGTAATTGAACATGGATTTCTCGATAAAGTTTTTAAAAAGAAGAATCGCGTGAACGTATGCGTTACGAAACATCACCTCGAGTCTCACGGTATTGACGACGGATCGCCGAGGACATACTATCGAAAGCAACCGCACGTGACTACACGCCTGTCACTACTATTGGCCGATCCACACTACAGACGACGTAGCCGGTCGATAAGCATCCTCGGGAATTCTTCGCCTGTCCGTGTAAGAGACGCCACTGACCGATTCAGTTTAGCTGAGCATCATCGTCGAGTTACTACGCGAATTTTCGGTTTCCTCTCTCTCTCTCTCTCTCTCTCTCTATCTTTCCCTCTCCCTTTCCGCGAAATCTAACGGGATTGACGAGCAGTGCCAAAATGTTGGAACCGGAAGTAGGAGCCAAGATCGTCAATCTGCGACGAGGCACCAGTTTGAGAATACCGTCGATGAGCGACCCTACCGAAGGTAAGGATCAAACAAGGGATAAGCGGGATTTGTATTCGAAAGGACTTTCGAAGCTTAGGAATTTCGTCAATCGCGATCCGATTTTTTTTAATAATGGAAGATTTTTTATGGTAGTTATCGCATTAGCGCTAATTCAATTTTCTTTTTATTTACATCATAAGTAATCTTTTTTTATCGCGCTTATAAAATCATATTTTTTATTGTACTAGAATTTTAAAATTTGTTTAATCTATCGGGTTAATTTTATTATTCTTTTTTTATAAATCTTGTGTAGCTATGATGAACCAAAGATATTGAATTAGTCGTTACAATTAGAAATTTGCAATTGCTAAAACCGATATTTAGCATGCATTGAGATATGTCTCTAAAATTAGTTGTGTCTTCAAAAATTATGAGAAACGAGATATTTTTACACTAATTTACAATACGAAACAATATTGAATTGATATTCTTTGCATTATTAACTCTTATACATTTGTTCTTGCTATATGTTTTTAAGAGAATACGTAACTATTTCGAAAGTATTACAAGATTGTTCTTTTTACATAATGGAGATACGCCATTTATATTGCTAAAAATTCTTATCATAAATTCTTAATAATGCGATGCAAAGAATAATTCTTTCTCAGACCAATATATCTTTGTTTAAAGCGCGAATTCCGGGATTAAGTAATTAGTGCTTAATCGTCGGTCTTGTTCTGACTCATCTTCCCAGCGAAATAGGAGCTCTTGTATTATGAGGAAATTCGTCAAATGGAACATGTACAGTGTTACGTACGTTAACATCAGAGACATATATGATGCATGACACAAGCAGCACATTACATTTCCTCGCATGAGCGCGTTACCGCGTTATTATCACGCATCATGAGCTCATTAATAGTGAGGCGTGTAAACATGTGACGACGGTGAAATCGTATATTTCGCGTGCTTACATCATGGAGATTTCACATTTTCAAAGCGAAGAAAGGCCGAATCCATTTATTTATTTCAGCTATTGTGATCTTATTTAAATAAATATTACGTTTTATATATAACGTCTTTTAATAGAGATTGAACCAATGTGCGAATATATTACCAGAATATTTTGAGAAGAGCCGTTGTGCGTGAATACAATTAACAATAGTTGACCCGGTATAGCCACGTATAAAATGCTTTAATATTGATAAAATAGTTTAAAGGTTATTAAAGTTTATGTAATTTAAATCATATATATCCAACTGAAATTAGAGTTTATATCGATCGATATCTTAAATTCCCGTTACACTTCTTTGACCTTTGCCAAACGCGAAACATAGGATTGGAAACCGCGACTCTCTCGAATTAGTTCAAGTTTCGTCTCAAGATTCTGAAGATTTTTATCGGCTTTGCCGAAGTTTTTCAACAAGGTTTACGTTGGTCGACGACGAAAGCAATTTTCCAAAGTCCCGACGGTATTCCCCCGAAATCGGAAAATTCCCAGGAACCGGGAACTTCCCCGTAACGCATCGGGACAACGACCTGGAGTTTCCGCGTCCGTGCGAAATCTCTGTTTTAAACTCGTTGTTGCTCGACGCTATTTTCAGGCAGTCCCGCGTTATTCCGACGTTGAATTGTTTATCTTTGGACATTTTACAAATGCCGTTTGCACTTATATCGCGAATTTCCGAAATTAGACACGATTGCGACGCGGCTTTGTCTGGCAGCTGTCTGATAACTGACGTCACACTGACCGAATTAAGTATTGTGACAAGCGAGTGATTCCGCGCTCAAAGTAATTATAAAATCATTGAGATGCGTCCAACTGCGGTCAAGTGCAGCTGACGATATTGCAAAATTGCAAGAGAAATTCGTAAATACGAAAACGTACGCTATATATATTATCGGTTTTAATTTAATTCACCACTTTATTTATATTCTGAAGTAAATTCTTTTAATTGAAAAAATACTCGGTTTATATATCAGATCTTTTTTTGTCACTTCAAAAAATCCTTTTTAGCCAATTCAATGATGCCTCGGCTAATCATTTCTCTGGATATTTGCTCAGTAATTCATGAAAAATTATCCGGATATATTTTTATTACGCTGTTTAATGAAATCTTATTTGTATAAGAATAATGTGTAATTTTTTATCTATATTACTATAAAAATTTAGCACAGCAAAAGTTAATATTAATATCAACGACAGCTGTACGTCGATGCGTCATACAGTAGCGGAAAGTTAAGAATCGTGCGAAATACACGCGAAAACTTAATATGCATCATTACCGGTTTCATTCGAATACATGATCGCTCAATCTCACACTGATGGATCGTATTTACATATTTGCATTGAATTGAAATATTTATGCCGTGCGGATTGTCGATAGTATCTCGATGTAGGGCATCTTGGTATATCGTCGTCGCAATAAACTTCGACCTTTATCTAAACCCACGACGCGCGTTTGTGCAAACAGAAAATTGTCTGCTCGAGGAAGCTCGCGCTTGGAGAAAAAAAAAATATTTTTTTTTTTTTTTTTTTTTTTTTTTTACGCAATGATCATTTCTTTCTATGTATTTCTTTCCGGAAAATTGTAGATAGTCTAAATCGCGCGAGATTACGGGATATAGTTTGAAATATAGAATAAAGTAAAAATACACAGATCATTCATCCGTTTGTTATCTTTAATTTCTGTTTATCTATTAATTGGCTATCTCGGAGAGAGTTTTCTAAGAACATGGATGATATAACTGTCATTGCATTAAGCATATGGATATAACGGATATACACGGTATATAACGAATTGACAATGAGAGAAAGAAATAAAAATAATTTGGGACGATAGAAAGAGGGAGATAGTATGGTACGAGAGAAAAGAAGATAAGAAGGAACCGTTTGCACACTCTTAATAAACACTCTTCAATATGCCGTGCAAACACAAAAGAAAAAAAACGTAACGGAAACGGTCGAAGTATACGGCAAAGTATTTTGGAAACGGACCAAGTGAACTTACGTATGTATAAATGTGAAACAATATTTTGAGGAGACTTATTCATCGTTGGTTTTCTTAAAATTTTTATATTTTTATATTTTTAAAACGTGCATTTACGTACACATTCTGCGAACAGTTCATAGACGATATCCGCAATCGTTGTCCACAGATTATATGGATAGTGCTTTACGTTTTATGTCTATGTGTGTGTCTTCGATAAAATTTAAGACTGATTTGATCATTAAAATATTTACTGTTTGTCTTTCGCAACTAACAATAAAGGAAACTCTCCGTTCATAAACAAAAAACTTTATGTGAAAGATACGTGTTTATGTATGTATGTTTTTGTTTATATCTTACAGACTTGTTGTTTTCCTTATTCGGCGAAAGATAACAAACACTATCTAACAATGAATATAAAGTATTTGTTCACATATCATTCGCAGTCAGTCGTAGATCAGTAATGCTCGCGTAAGTAGGTAGGTACCACGCTAAAGAATATATTAACGCTAATCTCGTTTTCGGTCAGCCTGTCATTAGAAGCCAGTATTCTTTTTCAAACTTTTCGATGTGTAAACTTTCATTTCAATACATTACAGAACTTGTGCTTTTTACTTGATTTCCATAAATTAATCGAACAGTCGACAGAAAAAAAAATATTGTTTAACTTTGTCGCGATAAATTTGTCACAATAAATTCTTGATCAAATTTATCTGCGACATCGTCGTACGTAGGTGTGCTTGTCGTATTTCCTCCTTTCCGATCTCGTATCGTGGTAATGCCAAGTTCCGTGAAACACCCGATGCCATTCTTCTTCAACCTACGATTCCTAGCATTTGAAAGTGGAAAGAGATTCCGGGATGTCGCGGTTTTCAGGAAACCGCCTACGAAACTGCCCCATTGTCATGTCTCATGCCGTGTGCCGTGCCGCAAATAATTCGCGAATCATCTTCGATCGCGCGCAATGCGTCGTCATATGTAGGTACGTGTCGCGAATCTTTCGAGGGAGATGCGACGTTTTCTCGCATATAACAGATGGAACGTGCGGAAGATGCGCAAGGGATGCGCGGCGCCTTGCCAAAAACGTGGCGGTATCGCGGTGTTGTTACATTCGCATTTCTTCCACGCCCTCGAAAATTTTCAGTCGCTGGACAGAAGGCCACGAGATCGTACGGTGTTTCTTGACCACGTACAATATCTCACGCGAGAAGGGAATATACATATATACATAATTTTTTTCGCTGTTATCACTTGGATTCGCGTCATCTCAATCTTAGATATTGCAATTACGAAAAATGTTTACTTGCTACGGATCAATCTTTGTACTATGTGAAAAAATTAGAATTATATCTAGTGTCACAAATAATAATTAATAAATAATTAGAAATTTCTGTACGTGTGTGTATATATATGTATGTACATAAAAATTATAATTTATAAATTATTTTCTCTTAGACGCGGGGGTTAATATAAATTTTTTCAAGTTCTTATTATATTATAAAGCAAAATTAACCTAAACATTTGCGTATATTATATATAAATAAAATGTATGGCCGACTCTGTCGTTTTTTTCGTTAATAAATAATAAATTGTGCACACATATTTTAATTATATTTAGATTATATATAAAAATCTCTCTCTTTCTCTCTCTCTCTCTCTCATTAATATCTCAGCTTTTTGTGTTGGAATAAATTATTTACAAGATCAATCATTCAACTAAAGTGTGGATTCATATATTTTCATTCCTACAAAATTATCGAAATACTCTCTCTCTCTCTCTCAAATAATTAATCCTCCATGAATTCACCGAAATTATATTGTTTCAATCCCTACTTTGAATTCTTTTAATTTCGCATTCTTTACGCTAGGTCGGCTTTTCAATTCTAATCAAATCCGTATGCTAAAAAATGGATGAATCGCGATTTTCGAAAAATTATTGCTTCTCGAAATTGAGGATTCAGATCGAGATGAGTTGTCAGGGATGATTGGCCGGTGGAAGACTATCGATCTTTACTAAAACATGGCTCTGCGGATATATCAGATCCAAGGTAAGCCGGCCCGACGAACACGAGGCTTAAGTCATTTAGGCTAAAGGCACTAGCGCTCGTAATACGTTCACGTAATGCAGGTAGTATAGACCGGAGACCTGGCGCGCCGCTAATACACGGGACTGACGTAACGGTAAGCGGGGGCTTTAAATGAATTAAAGTCGACGACGGGGGCGAGTGAGCTCGCCGGACGTCGAGTGTGCTGTTGCCATGCGTTTCGTTCTGACGCTTCGCTGATTCTTTTCTGATTCCGGTTGTCTCGTTTCGATCATAGAAATGAATCTACAGCCATCTATCGTGCTCGTCCAACTAATTTCTTCCGAAGAAGTTGCACGCGAAAAAGTAAGTTGTCGTGAGGAATGTTCAGTAGTTTTTTTAAGACGTGCGCGTCGGAAAAAGTTCTGTGACCAAGTGAGCTACAATACCGGATATATTTTGACTAAATTGCTTCTAGATGACTTGAACGTTGCAAATCTGTCCTTTGTACGTGCATTGAAAGAATTTTAATCCAGGGTTATTATACAAATTATTATATTTAATTATCGAATGTTGAATTAAAATTAAAGAAATAAATTGAGGCAATTGCAAGAAGTTTGTCGATCAAAGTATCGATGCTGAACATTCGTTTGGCAAGCATTCGTCATAAAAATTGAAATCGAGTAATACGTCACATTTCGCCGATTAAAGAGAATGCGAAAGGGGAACACTTTAATAATAGCTTCCTGTATCTTTCAATCTGGACGGATTGCTTTCACTTCCGCATTCGATGCAATAATCACACCGTCCATTGATAATTTAATCATATGCGTGAATACATGTATAACGACTATATCTAATGATAGGGTGCGATGTTGAAATTTCAGAGAGCGAGCTAGGTCTGTGTCGTAGCAGTTCCTTGAAGATTTCACGGACCAACGATGCCGACCGCGTCGTCGCGCGAAATGGAGCGCCTCTGACGAACGCGGGATCGTCGCCGTCGTCAGCGTCATCAGCGTCGTCCTCGTCGTCGTCATCGTCGGTTGCGTTGTCGGATAGATGCGCGAGCTGCGGCGTCAACAGATCGTTCCGGTCCGCCAGGCGTCACGCACCAGCGGGTGATGCACCTGCGCCGGAGTATCTCGCCAGGAGTCTCCTGCAACTCGGATGTCCTGCCGTGTCGATGCCAACGTAAGTAACATTTCCGGAATTTTACGCCTACTCTCTCCATCTCTCTCTCTCTTTCTCTCTCCCTCCCTCTCTCTCTCTCTCTCCGAGAGATAGAATATTAATTATAATTGATACGATTTCGTGCGCGCGTCAAGGTCACAATTTTTCGTACGAGAGACACGTCAATCGCTTCATTTCCGTGGTCATGAATAAATATAGAAGGGATTTGCGTGACACACGCGTTGATGTGACGTCGAAAAGTGAACTCATTAAAATTATATTGGTCACGATTCTGCTCGACAAATTGTTTATCATTCGGTCAAGGCGAGAATGTCGCGAGAAGGGATCGCGTCGACGGGATGGGCGGATCGCCTCGAGGGTTAGTCCCGATTGCGCAATTCAGGTATATGACGTAACACGAGAGATGCGAAGAAGATTCCAACCATTTCGTGTCCGCATGGTCTGCATGCATTGCCACGAGAAGCAGAGGCGGAAAGAACAATCTAATCGTGCCTTTCTCTCTCGTCCGTAGTCCAATGCATTTGAAATAAAGTATTGTTCGCATAAAAAAATCTGCTGCTGCGGAATCGTAACGAGTGATTTTTATAATAAGATAAGAGTTTCACTAATGCAGTATGTAATGACTGATTGTTGCGTGAACAACATTTAAAGGTATCCCTCGCAACAAGCGCGTATTCTGACGTATTCGAGTTCTCGTGTGTTTAGACCCTCCTTTGTCGGGTCGAAACGATGTCGATCGAACTTTCGTGATCGCGAATGGGAACGAACGAATGGAACTAAACGTAGAGCTAGTTGTGAGCGGTCCCTCCTTTAACGAGGAAGTCGTTTTCGCGTCGCGAGAGCCTCGTCGAGCAATTAAACGTTCGCATGCGGTTATCGAGTGTCGACACCACGTATAGTCGATGCGCACACGCATCGCAAATGGAGAGGTAGAGAGACGATGTTGAAAAAAGGTGTGAAAAAAGAGAAGATGAGAGAGTCGTCAATTGACGCGAGATGCCAAAGCTACAATTATCTCGCAACAGCATGAAAATTAAATTTAACGAAGTTGTATTGGTTTCAATTCTCGGAGAATGGACTTTTATTCAAATTCTACAACGTTAAAACTCCGTGTTAAAGTAAAGAGCATATATTGTATATGAAATAGAAATAATACATCCGTAAAATAACTATAGTACAAAAATACGCGCATATACATATGCATAATGGGAAAAATACATACGGGCGATGAAAAATATTGACGTTACATAGTGTACCGCGCTAGACAGATAAATGCCTCTCCTGAAAAAAATAACAAAAAACAGAATACAAAAATAACAAATCAACAAGAGGCAAGAGAGGCAAGAAAGGCAAGAGAGGCAAGATAGATAGGCAAGAAAACAGAAAAGTAGGGGAAGATGTCGAGGCGGACATTTACTAGAAGATTGATCACATAATTCTCTCGAAGGAATAAAAGGGGTGAGAGGTGAAGATATTATTAAATCGTCGAAACACACACGCGTGCTATCGCGCAGCTGTTTTCGACGCGAAATGATAAAAATCAGACGAAAGGTAATTCGCGTGAGATTCTAGACGAAAGAGTTTAACCGACGAATTCGCGAATCGTGTTGGAGATCGGCGAGCAGCGGTCGCGATCAGCTGATCGGCCATCACAGCTGTCATCTGCCGTGTCCGTTTCGAGAGAACGGAGCGGAAGCGCGAACCTCAGGGGATTCATCTTGAAGCGGCGTTCGCGTTAATATAAACCAGCCTCTGGTTGCTGGTACGTGCACCATCATATAGTCATATAGCGACGGCGATGATATTCGGTCAATAGGTGAGTCGCGCGGCGCAGACGCGGCAGTCGCAGTACCAGTCCGTCTGTTCGCGCGCGTGTGCGTGTCCGCTCACATACACGTACATCCGCGAAAGCGATTGCCGAGAGCGGAGAGTAGAGCGGACACGCTTCGCGTCGCATTGCCGTATTCTTCCTCTCGTCGTCAGGACTCATCCGGAATATCGAAACGACGACGGCGGCGGCGGCGGCGGCGGCGCCTTGCAGCAACGTCCTTGTCTCTCTTGCCATTGTGGTTATCGCATTTTCTCTTCCAAGGGGAGCGCCTGACTTGTGGGAGGAATGTCCTCGTCGATAGTCGTCTGACGACGATCTCTGGTGATAGTTTTTTTTGGTGATAGTCGGCAGGATCAAGAAAAAAAGATTGGAAGACTCGAGAACATCAAGAGGCTCAAAGAAAGGAAAGGGTCGACGGCTGTCGATATTTCGAAAGGAATCTTCTTCGGAAGAGATAACAGAGGAAAGGATCTATCTCAGCTGATGAGGGAGAGTTTCTCATTTTGGGGCGCGGACACCGAAATCGTCGTTTGACTCGCATGTCACGTCGACGAGAGGCGAGAAGCGGAAGGAGGATGCGAGAAGATTGGGATAATTGAAGCTGCGTTTCGCGCGCGTGGGGCAAGACCCAGTTCCAGCTTAGAAGAAGGCTTTGCATGTGTCCGCCGCTGTGAACAGCAACAACGCAGGACAGTGGCGCCTCTCTACTGGACTGCTAGTTACGATAATACTCACCGCAGGTGCGAACGAAGGCCAGGTTGACACCGGCCGAAAAAAGTGCCAATGTAGTCGATTCTTCGCTTATATTGATCTAACCGGTCATCGTGAGATGTGTGAGGTTGTTATGTATATTTTTTAATATATTATAAATAGCGCTATATATATATATATAATTGCACAAAAATATTTAATTTTTTTTTTATTATAATCGATCAAATTAATTGATTTAAATTATCGTTTAAACTCATCTTTTGCGAGAATATCTTGTATAATTAAAAGATTTATGTCGCAGATTTATTTTTGAAAGAAAAACAGACGTGATGGTAGAAAATTGAAAATATTAAATTTAGATTAATGCACGCTCAAGCTTTTAAAGAAGTCAATAGACTGAACTCTTCAACTCGAGTCATCGTAACGCTATTGTCATTCATAACGTCGCCGCGCAACATCATCGCATATGCAGATATTACAATGCTTGATTTTTGCTCGATTTTTTCCTCACAATCGCTTGAATCTTATCGCGATTATGCATGCAACTTTGGGCAACTGCCGACGATTAGTATCAACGCCTCCAAGCCAAGAACCCCGGGCAAAAGGTCACGGATCAGAGATCACGTTCTTAATTATCAGTTGTATTACAAAAGACGAAGAGTTAATAGAGATGAAGTAGATGTAAATATCGACTGTACTAACCGATTGTGATTTTATCAATCGATAAATCTAACGCTTGCATGATTTTTATATAGCGGCGACCTCATTTTGAATGCTAACGCGGATAAGAGAGAAAGCTCATAAATAATTCTGTTCAATGTAAATTCCTAATACACGCAGTAGTATACTATGCTAGTTGGCAACTTGGAGGTTCAGTGCTTCACCAGTGATTCGTCACGACAAAGAGAATACGGTCTCGTGAGTAAAAATAATTGGCGAGGTTTAACGTGAACAATGCGTCTCGTACGAGCGCGAGATGTGAAATAGGAGAAATCGTTACATTCGTTACGTTCGCTACTAACAATAAATGTAAAGTAATAAAAAAGGCTAGCTTCTTTTTCGCATCAAACGAACTTTGTTACGGTCGTGATAAACATTTCGCAGTTGCGACAGAGACACATTTGTCCTGTCACGGATACTCTCGTCCGACATGACGAATATGAGAGAAGCAACGGTAGAGAATTTTCGAAATTTGCCTTCTCTCGCTCACATTGTAAAGTATATTGTTATTTTGGAAATATACTTTCGCGATAATGCGCCTGCACTGGCGAAACGCCAACGCGGGCTGAGGACGATCGATTCCGCAATCTTGTCTCTGCTCTACGAAATGGATGATATAAGAATTCCCAGAATGAGAATCAAAATGGAAAGGAATGAAAAAAAATTGAACGTGAAATTGTAAGTGTGCTGGGTTTTTAAAATATAAATTAAAATCGCGATTTCTCTCATGTTACAAATGAGCGGACAATGTCTTATATTTTCTTGTGGTTCTGCTAAAGAATTATTTACTTTTTTCCCTAAAAAGTTACATCGTGAAAGCCTAAAGCGCTCTTTTGATTTAAAATAATCAATAATCATTTTAATTAGAATATAATTTCATAACGTAGGGAAACGTGCCATTATAACAAGATGAATGAAAACATTGTTGCAACGTTACATTTACGCTCGTCTTCAACTTTTTTCGTTTCGTTAAGAATCTTGCGAACGATAAAAATATTCTTACAGGAGTTAGATATCGCTAACACAAGAAGTCGAGCGAACTGATTTACATGCAGCAATTGCTCCAGTAACGTATGCGAAGAGCGTGTTTCACGGGAGATTGGAATCTTTCCATCGCTCTCGTTGAAGCACGCATTACGCGATCTGCCTTACGCATCTGTCGCGTCGGGATGAGATCAATTAATTCGCGTCGATGGGATTTGCAACGCTTGTAGCAACAGCTGATGGTGACGTTTGCCACTGCGATGTCTGTCGTCACGCCCCGAGCATTTCTTTCATTCAGTCTCGAACTGAGAAACTAGCGCGCCTTGTGCGCGTTGTGCTATATCCGATTAAAATATCCATTTTTACAATTATCGATATTTAGCCTACATTTGATTTGATTTTTTCTCGCATTATCGTGTTGCCAAAAAAAGAAATGGAATCTGTCAACGAATCTTTATTATTTTTTTCGCGATAAAATATATCTATATACAATATATCTATATTTATGCATACACATGTATCTTTCGTCTTTAAAAGTGGATTAATACACATCTGCTAGTATTATATCGTGCAATATATTGTAATTGTGCGCTCTTCCGTTTATTAATATACGGTGACTCGTTTTGTTTCAGACCTCGTGGCGGTGTCGGATCGGAGCAACCGCCGAGCAGCGACAGCGATGATTACACCACCGCCCATCACCAGGGCGCAGGTTATGGACAGAACCTGGACGCTTACACCGTGCCCACGGTCCAGGTATCGGGCCCACCTAACGCCGATGAACCCGCTTCCGTCATCAATGGGTGAGCGAATGAACAATATCATTCTAAAAATGGTTGTTTTTCTATATTTTTTTAGTTAAATTGGGTCAAATTTATAATATATCAAGTGAAATTAAAAAGAAGCAGAAAGTTTAATAAATCTTTATAAGAACGCGATTCAGAATAAGAAAGAAATGATTAGCGATGCTTTTATGACTAATTATATGTATAAACGTTCTAATTCCATAGAGAAGAGTAAAATGATTTTTTACATAAATAGATATTTAAGATTACGCTAATCGATTCAAAGTCTTACATAAACGCTTTGTGTATTTAAATTGACGCATTTATTCTTCGAGGTAGAAATGATTTTATGAATGAATTGCGTGTAACGCGAATAAAGATACAATCGTATAGAGATTCTTATCAATAACTAGTGACAGATAGTTTGGAATAAATATCAAGCAAGTCTCTTGAACCATGATTCTTACATTCATCCAATGATTTTTACATCATTCAGTTTTTTTATTGCACAATATCTTAATGACAATAATATGTTTGCAAAATGTATGAAACATAATTAATGCAAAGAGATATTTTATAACAAGACAATGTTAATAATCAATAATAGTAAGTACTAAAATACACGAGTTGTTTAAATTAACAATTTTCAAAAAATATCACTAATTTTTATATTACAAATAATAATATATCTTTCTTTTTATTATACACTAATACAAATTTATATCTATCTCTTTTTAATTTTATTCCTTTAAAAAAAAAATCTTATTACAAACATTTAATTCAAGATATATAACATTTTAATCCAATTTGCACTACAAACTTTGAACTTATCATCAAGTATTTTAACAAAATTCCGCGTAGTAATTTTGATTAGCGAATGTGTGTATCGATATATACCGACGATATACCGTTTAATCGCCATAATGAGCGTGCGTGCAATTTCAATGAGCCGACCACTAGCGTCTTCCTCTTGCGCGTCAGGTATTGGTCGTAAGACGCAGGCAGGTACGCGGCGGATGATAAATGAACGATTGATGCGTCGCGTTTGATAAGCGCAGCGTTGTTGCGGTATCGTCAACGGAACCGTTCGCGCCTTTCCGTATATTCTCGTATCATTCGGTATTTCGTCGCGTTTATAACCAAATCGCGCGCTACCGCCTTATCGCGCCGTGATAATGATACGCCTCGTTGATTCGGCCGACGCTGTTTGGCGAGTAAAAAGTTGCTCGTCGATTTCGCTGGACAATAAAGAAAGAAAATAAAGAAGAGTCGATAAGGAACGGCGCGAATTTTCAGTGACGCGATTTTAACTCGTGGCCGAGAAAGTAAAGAGAAAGTATCGAGTTGAATAGTCCTTGCGAGATTTTTCGCGACAATCAAGACTTTCCGTGTGTGACTCGCGTGTATGAATCGCGTCGCGGTTGAGTGGCGCCGCGACGAGATGATGAAGACTCGTAAAACAAGAACGACACTGCGAATCCATCGATTCGGACTTTATAGCAATAAGGAGAATATATCGGCGGTGTCGAGAATCTCTCGAAATTGCAAGACGCAATTGTTGAAGAACTATGAAATCGCGTTACACTGGCTGAGAATTAGAAGATCGGCGATACGCGATGAGCGAATGTCATGTGTGTATCATGAGGAAAAGGCGCATCTGCAGATGTGCGAAAGCGCATCGGAATGGTGAGTGCATCGCGACGGTCTTTCAGCAATGTTTATAAATGATAATTATACGAAAGAGAGAGATGTGAGGAAAATCTTAAAATTATAAATCTATAATAATTACAGTATATGGGTAGTTGTGTAGCTTGAAAAGACTGATTTTATAAAAAAATCTACAACATACAAATATGTAGGTACGTACACATACACATGCGTACGGCTGAAAATAATGTAGAAGACGTAGATTTTTTTAAAGATCACTTTTTATACGTCTAAAGCGACGTTTTGTCCTTGTAAAAAGCTTATCAACTTACGCAATTGATAGTTGACCTATATCATCAATGATCGCCACGATGAGATATCCTTTCAAGGAAAGATGAACAAGGAAAGACGATTTGCGATTTGCCAAGCTCGAGGCCTTTCTCTTGTGAGATATTAAAAAAAAAAAAAGCAATTGAATAAATCAAGACACGTTAGAAATGTATTAATAAATTTATGAAAAGGATAAAAATAAATTTTATATATATAGCTTTGTTTTTTTGTTTGTTTTTTTTTTTAATTTGGCGTAACAAAGCTATTGCATAAAACATCGTTCATTTTAATCCAACTAATGTAATTTAATTTTCATTTGAATAAATGAAAATTAAATTAGAAATACAATAAAAGTATCCGCAAGAAAGAAATCGACATTTAGCGAGAAAATGTAATTATGTGACAGTATATTTCTTATCGGTTCATTCACGGTATATTTACTCTATTTATTCTGTTGTTTTTGTCATTAAAATATTGTTTCGAATGTTTCGATTGTTACGAATAGGCGACTTGATAAATGCCCCCGAAGATACGTTTGCAATTTATTGTAATGACCGCATTAGCGGAATAAATAGAGAATGTCGATTCGCACAAATGTGCGTAATATAATGTGCGAATGTATGCGTGTGTGTATCAAAATGTGTGTATCAAAAACTGCTCCAAATCAGGGCTCTAATCTCGCGAACTGTACGCGTTGACATACAGCTTTGAGATAGCGAATAAGCGCGATAAGCCATTACACGGTGATCAATATGTTTCACGGGCCGTAAATAAAGTGCTCGCGTTTGCCTACGTATTTTTAGAGCAAATTTTTTTTTCACCGTTCAAGGGCGAGGTCCGAAAATAAATTGTTAAAGAATTTCTCCATACGCGCTTCTTCATATACGTGTGCTCTTTAGCTTATTTGCACAATTTTTTTCGCAGGTAAATAAAATGCGCAGGTTAATACGAAGATGAGAACGAAGATTTTTTTTTATTAAAATTATAATATTGCTAACAATAAGATTATATTTTTTAGCTATTTCTTAAATTAGCAATTCTATCTTAATTATTATCTTCATTTTATGTTAGTCTTTTTTGTTATTACTTATCGAATTATACATATACATAAAAATTCGCATTGTTATATATTTTTATCAATAATGTCAGTTGTGCTAATCATACTTAATAATATAATATAATCCTCTTTACGACTTGAATAACTTGAGATATCTCAATAGAATAAAATGTACAGACTCTATATCTCAGATAAATAAATGTAATTACATAGCAAATAAGAGTCGGCGCGGTAGTTAGTGCGCATACAATATTTAGATACGAATATATCAAGAAGTCATCGCTTTATGACATTATCTAACGGTTGAGATATCCCGTACTAATTTCGCACGTTTATCATGTTATCGTTAATAGCGTCATAAATGAAGCAAATATGAAAATTAGCTTTACTAGCGCCAGCCGCGGTATCGTTAGAGCAACAATAGACCAACAAATGTGGATGTTGGATATATCTATCTCTTCCCTTTGTAGAGAAACTCCATTACTCATGCTCGGCGTGCTAATGACTTTTCAACGAAATATACTGGCACGACGTTGCTCGATATTTTTAACTTGATATATAAGCCATGGCTTCACTACTCGCTATATTTTTGTAACAAAAATTTTGAATTGTTGGCTGTTGCCGATTTTGATAATAAAGTAAAACTTGAAAAAAAGGGGGAGGTTTAAAAATAAAATTAATTAAATTATAATACACTGAAATATTTTTCTCGATAATAAATTTAACAATTGTTATATTATCGTAAATAATGAAATTTTTATTTCTCTAATATATTTAAAATAATTTAGATTATATATAAAATTTTGTTAAGACACTACGCTGATGACTATCATAAATATTTTAAGATTAATATCGGAATACCGCGTGTTTTTCTTTTTCTAATATACGAATTAGAAAGCATATAAAATTGAATTTTGTATAACTTTAATAAAATAAAATAAAACAGAAACAAAAGTAAAGAAGAAAGTTGCATATACATATTTGCATGCAAAATTTATATATTCAAGAAAGTAAAGTATTTTTCAATTGCGTTTCTAGATTCGGAAGAATCAAATTTAGAAAGTTAGCGGACTTTTAAATTCGTCGAGAAATAATGAGAGATGAACTTTGCGTGCGGCGATATCCTCGATTTAGATTCGACATTGGCGATTCCGGCGGGCCAAGGCGATAGTGGTCGTCATCGTCAATGTCTAAATGAGTTTGCATTTAAACTGTCGTACAGCCAAAGTGCATTGCTGTTGGGACGAGTTTATTGCTGTCAATTCTTCGCTCTATCTACAGTCCGACCCCTGGACCGACTTTTAATAAAATTCGCGTTGGATATCTAACGAGACGAATTATGCCGAAATTATACGCATCTCGCAATTATCTTGCAGGCGAAATTTAAAATACGACGCGATTTGATTGGCAGGATATTGATTTATATTTTATATTTTATCTAGCAAATTTAATTGTATTAAAATTTCAATTTTATTACAACGTATCCGGCGATACAGAATCTCTTGTTTCTTAAGTTATTTTAGTAATTCTGTATAAAAACTGATAAAATTTTTAAATTTTAATGTTAATTTAAATTGTTCATGTTTTATTATATTATAATATTCAGAAAAATATATCAAAAAGGGAAAAAAATACTAATCTTAACATCGCATCACATTATCCTAAAAAAATTCATTAGCGTTCATACAGAATTACGAAAATAGTTTTTACAAATTTATTATTGCCACGTTTATATATATAAAATTCATAATAATCGGAACGATTTGGTGTCGGGCAACGTTAACGGTTTCTCATACCGTCTATGCAACAACTGATAATTATGACAGCAATCAACAACATTGCACGACCCGCACGTATACAGACGAACATTCTGCCAAGCGTCATGCTTTTGCAATTAAACACATGAAAGAGTCGTATATTCTCCGCTTTTCCGTGTCGCTTTGCGATTGAATGCATCGGCATTTTTTTTTTTTCTTCTGTAGAATTTTTCACACACCGCGCGAGCGTATCGCGTATCTGTATCCCATATCCCAGGCATATCGATTATTATTGCCATTTAGCGAAAGGCGGGCGAATACTGTAAAACACACACGTATCGACAGATTCCCGATCGTGCAATATGGCCGTTTCCTCTTCCGCGTGCTGCCAATAAATTAACGTTATTTGTGGACAGTCGCAATTCCTCCCTCTTTTCTCCCCTGCGCTGAAAACCGCTCGACATGTAGGTTACATGGGTACGTTGTACGTGAAATGTACGGAGAAGCATGTTATATTATACCGAGTGCTTTTTTTTCCTTCTTTTTTATGATTATTGCGATGCACCGCTAGGCATAAAGAGGTAAAGATAAAGAGGTAGCGTTAGTGGGAACGTGAAACCTGCTCGATAATAAAAGATCAGCGCGAGTTTAATGATAACGCGGAAAACTGGCGCGATCAGCCGTTACTTTGGAGAAACGAAACTTGATGGAAAGTATCTTTTAGCGGAAATTGGCCTCGCCTAAAACTCTCGAGATTTATACCGCGCGGATCTTTGTTCGTGAATCGTATCGTCATCGTGTATTCGCGTGTTGGCGCGGACCGGAAGGAATGAATCCCAATCGCGATGCACTTGGAAATGAATTAGGTCAACCGCACAGGTTTTTCTATATGATTCCCCTTCTCCCTGCGGTTGCGATCACTGCGCGTGTTTGTTCTCCACTCTCACGAAATAGTATCGCTAAGGTTTCGCAGGCTTTGATATTAAGGTTAATCTGCTTGATCTAGTTTTCTCGCAGGTTTTGTACTAGGCATTCTCGATTCTCTCACGGGGTGGCACATTAGCTGAAAGTAAATATCCCGCACGCTGGAAAGCGGACTTTCTACGTTTTTAAATGCGAACGAGCGAGCGTAATAATCAGCTCATGCCTGATCGATGCATTTTATTCTTGATATGCGTTATTGAATAAAATTCTGATTTATTTTTATTTTAAAAATTCTTTTTTCTATTTAAATTTAAAATTTAGAATTTTTAATGTAGATTATATGGTTCTGACAATATCGATCGTCTTTCCAACGGAATCGAACTTTTACTTTGAGACGATTATCGTTCCGGTGTTTGCTTTTCGTTTCCGTTTTCTTTATAATCTTTCTTCTTGTAATATATTTTTGATATAATTTCCGATATATTATAATATAATTCTCTTGTAATAGAAAAAGAATTGTTTATTGCGTTCTCTTCATCGCTCGGCATTTTCGTACAATTAGTTTAATATTTTTAGAAGCGGTCATGAACCTAAGCTTACGTCTGCTACTGCTTCTTGATATCGTTATAAAGATAAATCAAATGGCGTTTACAGACTTGAATCAATGTTATCGCAAAGGCATTAAAAATGTATTAGATAACCTCTGTCTTTCTTTTCATTATAGAAACAACGTTTTATCATGATATATTACGCTTTGAATTAATGTATTCGTTTTGATTAAATGTTATGAAATGTTTGTGACTCCACAAACAGCGTGATCAGGTCATTCGCTCTTCATCAAAAGCCATTTTATAGACATTTGGCACCAGGGAAACATATATACAGGGTGTTTTAGAATTAAACGTTCTAATTAAAACTATATGATGAATTTAGGACCTCAAAATAAGTAAGAATGTTTCTCTAGGGAATATGCTCGCAAACGCCTTGTTAGAGAAGAAGAATTTTATCACTTATTTTGGGATCCTAAATTTATATTGTAAATTAGGATACGTTTTTTTAAATCCTAAAACATCCTATATATATAATGACGTCAGACTGGCGTAAATGAGCAGAATATGGGATCATCTCTATTAAAAAGTTCCTCTATTTCCGGGACCCGCATTATTATCTCGATAAAACGCAACACTCGTGCGATTTATCAAAGAATAATGTTTCCGTCTGACGTATCATAGTACTCTGCAAACTTTTACTTATTTTATTTAAAAGATTAAACTTTTGTCTAATTTGTATGGCAGCTTATATCTGAAATCTATAGTGCCTATCTTTGTTAGCGTTTTTTTGATTTTTTAGGATACGCAGGTAAAATCAGCATTAAATTACATTAAATTACTGTTAAAATTAAAATTGATCTACGCGCACACAAAAAATTGCATCATGTAGCTATCGATTGTAATGTACACAGTTAAACTTTTGATATCACTAACAATATACAAACATTAATTCTCCCTACTGATGCCAGGGTTAAGATCGGTGGGAAGGATGTGTCGCGCTTGTGATTCGGGCTATGACATCCGGCTGAAGCAGAAACATTTTGCCGTAATAACCTCCGCTTTAGCCGCGCGGTATCACGTCGTTCCATAGGCACCGCAGGTCAATAATCGCTGTAGAAAGAGAACCCGTTCGTCAATCTCGCTATTAATACCGTTTCGTACGGGTAGGCTTTGAAGGAGAATACGCCATTTATTGGTAATTATTGTATTATTAATAAAAAATTCTTTTATGACGTTTTATACGAATAATTAACGAAAAAATCTTAACCGGCCAGTTTGACAGTATTTATTTGCGCAAAGCTGTTATTTATTTCTAATATCTAAGACATTCTTTATGCGTGCTCATAATATGTAAAATGCAATTATATCGTAACGCATTTTTTTTTAAATTTTTCCCATCGCCATTGTATCGCGATGATGACGATGATTCGAAGGCGAAAACTCGAAGCGAATAATTTACGGGCTTTATTGGTGGATATTAAAGAGGAAGCGAAAGAGAAGGACAGAGAATTGCAGTGCAACGAACTGTCATTCTTGCCTGCTACGGGACAGCCTCGGCGCGCTGCACTTATCGTACGATATCAAAAGGCATTAACAGGCGTGTGTGCACAGCTGATAAACGAGTAAATTACAACTGTACTCTCGTTGGATTGCAACGGTGCATTTTGCCGTTGAATCCATCGATCTTAACTGCATCGAATGCAATATGGCGCGTTAATCAAAGAAATGAATGTAACAACCGAGTGTTTAGCAAGTCATGAATTTAAATCGCTCTTTTAGAAATGAAAATATTTAATATCAAAAGCTTAACATTATCACACATGATAAATTTCCCTTACAGTTTTCTTCATAAAAAAAAAAAAAATTCCAAATTTACAATGATAATGATAATGATAATGATACTAATAATAAAACTATATACAAGAATTGAAATTCTCTTGCAAATATAGTTGGGCGTGAGAACTAATTAGAGTACACACAGAGGAATTTTTTTTTTATAAGTCTTTAGGCGAGAGACATGATTCGTAAGAGAAACACGATTCGGACATGTCAGTTATCGTTACCCGTTTGATTCGCGCCAATTGTATAGCGTACAATGATACAAAGCGCGAAAGAAGATACGAAGCCAGACTGAACATGACGCAAATCCAACGTCCATGTCGCGTGAGGTTTCATCGGGATCGCGTTATGTGTCGGATTAATTAAACGTCTGCTCTTAGTCCCTTCGGTTTTAATTTCTGGCTGCGTTAGTAATATCGTTTCTATTTGGTCCGTGATCTTGTTACATCATGATTTGTGGATTATAGTGTACCTACTGAAATGCGTGCGTACATAATCGTTTCTTTGCGTGAGCGTATTACATTCTCGTATAAGACGATCGTTTATAAAATAGCGAAGAGGACACGACGAAGGTCTAAAAACGTAAACTTGGATTTTCAAAGATGTTAATACTCTATCTAGTTATCTATTGCTATTATCTTGATAGCATAAGATAATTTATTTATTAATTTAGATGAAAAAATAAATCCAGTTCAATTGTTTAGAAAAAAAAAATATTTTTTAATATAGGAAGAGAAAGAGAAATTTTATTATCATAAAATTTAATTTTATTAACTAAAATTAAGAATCTAAAAAGAGATAACGGTATTTTTATTAATAAAAATTATGCACATATATTGTATATATATATATATATATTCATTTTTGTTTGTCAAATTAAATTCGAGTCTATTTAATAGCAATGATGTTTTAATTTCTTTCGCGCGAGCGAGTATGATAATATATTATGTCAAGATATTTAATCGCCTGGCATTTAATTACCTACTTCACACAATTTATACATACATATAATAATCGCTCTAGAGTTAAATTTGCACAAGTGAATAACAAACATTCGAATTAATAACCGTTGTAATCGACGAATTAATTACATAATATAATCGCTCATTTAAAAATAAGCAGAAGTTACTTAATCAGAGATATAAATTTTTTTTCAATACGCAATCGCGCGCGTCTTTAGAAGCGTCCGGGTAAATGGTCAATTGAGTTTTATCGATTACGGACGCTTTTTATCGCGATACACGTCGAACTTGGATCAGCATTTCTTTTTGCCGTTGAAGCGGAAGATTATCAGCCTCCGCGCGCGCAGATGTTGCGGCGCTGCAGCTCGGCGGCGGCGGCGGCGGCGGCAGCGGCGGCGGCGGCGGTATTATCGTCGTTGCCTCTCGTCGCAGATAACCCATTGTATAGATAACGAGTGCCACGCGATAATTTTTCTCATGTTGTATTTCTTCCATCGAGGGAAATAAATGCGGCTCCTCGACTCCAGTCGTTCTCGGGAAGGTCGCGAAGTGATGGTGCGTTTTAGTGACAGTGTAAACGCATCCGGAAAACAAAAAGGCAGACAGAGAGAAAAAGAAAAAGAGAGAAAAGGAGAGATCCGAGCAGACTTAATATTTCGTGAATAGGTAATACATTTGTGGATTCCCAGAAGGCTATTGTTAGATGATTTCAAGTAAAAAAAGCACTAATCACTATTGAATTTCGCATTTTTCTTTTCCGTAAGTGTTGATTAATTCTAATTATAGCTAGTTTATAGCTATATTCTTTATTTTTGTCTGCCCTATCTTCTGAGAAGGATATTAAATCAGTTAGCTCCCAGTTAACTTTAATTGGTCTTTATAGAAACAGTTCTCAGACAACGCAGGTTTTTTATGTTTTCCCTAATCTATATATTAAATTTTTCGAATATATTACAATATAAAACTACAATCTATAACATGGAACATTACTTAAAATTATACATAAATTACGTAAATTTCAACAGGTTGTGCGTAATAAATCACTCTTCAATGATAACAAATTTAAAAAATATGATAAAACAATTAAAAATAGCCATACATAAAGAAAATTGTAATTTTTAATAATTTATTATATTTTAGTGTCGTGAATTTCTAAAATGTTGAATGTTAATTAGAGTGTATATATATATATATTTTTGTCATAATTTGTCAAAGATGCTCTAAAAATTTCCATTTAAAGCAAATGATCATTATCTATTACTATATTTTCGAATTCTGCCGAGAGCGAAATAATGACTTTTAAAATAGAATGCATATCTAATCACGCGACGTGTTTATTAACATATGTTTGGTGCAAATAGCGTGTGTACAAGGCATATTATTTGAAATGGGACGAGACTAACAATAAGTAGAATTCATTGTTTCTTAAGTTGCTAAATGTGTTTTATAAAATATTCAAATTAAGTTACATCGCGCAACACTCGCGCGTTTCTCCGATCACATAATATGACATTTCACAAATATCCGCAAAAAGAGTTATATATCATTGATGCGCACAAATAAAACTTGAGATATTGCTATAGGTTCCTTTTTTATCAATTAATAAAAATTATTTTATCGTTTTGCCAAATATTATTCATTTTTGTTTTGTCTACGCACACACATCACAAATTTATAAAGAAAGAGTATCCATTATTTTAATGATTACCCAAGATTAATTCCTATTTAGATACGACGGAAAAAAAATTGAATATATTATTTTTTAGGAGAGATAAGAAAATATATAAAATTTTTATATTTATCCCTATTTGGTCTAAAATATAATATTTTAGCCGGCAATTTTTCGAAAAATAATCAATGAATAAACTTTGCAGTAATTTCTTATCAATAATACAGTTTTAAAGATATAAACAGATATTTTTAAAAAATACCCTTACTTATCTTATTCCATTTTAATTTACGATCATCAGATTAAGCAATAAACAACATTGAATATCGGCTCTATTATATCATGTTTGTCTTTTAGATAGGATCAGAAAACTCGCTCGCATATGTCAGAGAGTTAAAGTAAGACGGATAACTATCGGAGAATATATTCTCGAGGAAAATCGCGTCTCATGCAATATATGCAATTTGCCGACAATGTTGCGAGCGAAAAATCAGTCAAATAAAATTGACGCGCCGTTACAGGCATGCCTATGAGAAAAGGTAAAATGCAATAATCCCGTAAACTGCCATATTTATTATGCTTCTTAACTCGCGCTTTCAAAATTACATAATCGTAAGTGCGATAAAAAATTCTCCAACGACGCACATATTGATTTAGCGTGAGACACGTGTCATTTACACACGTGTTGCAAGATATCGCTCCTACGACGGAAGTAGAAAAAGAAGTTGAGCCGGGGATTGTGCGAGGCTTGCAATAATTTAGTAATCGGATCTGCGACATTCGCATCAAGCTACTCGTGTGTCGCAATCGATTCGATACAAGCGAGATTTTATATTGTTATTGTAAGACGAATCATATATTGTATCATGAATATATCACGCTAAATGATAAATTGATAACTTATATTTATATATATATAGAAATATTATTTTTAAAGATACCAATTTAATATAAAGATATGTAAAAAAATTTTTAGTAGAAATTATTTTGTAAATAAGAAGTATTACGTTTTTTTTACAGATTTGGTTTCAGAAAATTTTATCATGATGCTCAGGATATAAACAAATTAACTTTTGTCACGTTCAATGAATAATACGTGGAAAAATGTATAAGAAAAAAAAAAATTCTTCTCTCTCTCTTTCTACAATAATATCGATTATTTTAGAAAGAAGAATATTCTCTCTTAACATACAAAATCTTTGCTTTTAAGGAAACGCAAAACGAATTCGATAATACAAAGCTGTACGAAAACATTCTATTATCGCCCTTAACAATATTTTAAACAGAACTTTTCTTTCCAATACCTAAATATGCGTCGACATAAAAAATGCCACGTACAATGTATACATTTGCAGAATAAAACGCTTTCTGAAATGACTGATCCTAAGATGAGCGAATTTGAAGCAAATAATTGCTTCGTATTAATTTTTATTGTTCATGCATGTGACATAAATAATATTAAATAGAAAGGCTATTCTCCTTTTTCTTTTACAATTTCTCTTTCCTTCTCTGCTATTTGCAAGATATAATTACTCATATGACGAAAATAGTGATACTTTCGCTGATATCAATAAAGTATCGGTCCCTGTTTCTCCCGCCCGCTTTACCCCCCCAGCCATTACCCCCCCACCGGCACGACTCATAAAGACGTGCAGGTGCGTAGAGAGCACGCACGTGAGGAGTCATATAGAAAGGCGGATAGATACATGTGTATAACGAGCGCGTTGCGTCGCGTCGCTCTGCGACATGGCCGCACTCTTTGCGAGTTACAGCGAAGATAGTATAGAGCGACGTATCGAGCGACGGCAGCGGGCAGCGGCGGCGTCGTGGAGGGACAGAGGGACCGCGGACAGACGCGGACCGCGCGCTGATCGGTGATTGCTTACATATGGGATACGTCGGATTAATTTATCATTATTTTACTTCTCTAAATCTGCCATGATTAAATAAATAATAAATACATATATAATATCGTTTATATTTATAATATATAATAAATTGTTTTATTACTTGTTAATGCAAAGAGCTATTAATTAATTAAGCATCTAAAATTGGTTCGGCAACAAGTAATCAATCGGATATCTAATTAATTAAAGGTTGGCTGGGTTACGACAATTTAAATTTAATGGTAGTATCCGGTTGAATTATTTATTATTATTAAATATCCTATAATTTATGTAACGCGCTCTTTTACATAATTATTAATAATTGCTTCGTATTAATTTTTATTGTTCATGCATGTGACATAAATAATATTAAATAGAAAGGCTATTCTCCTTTTTCTTTTACAATTTCTCTTTCCTTCTCTGCTATTTGCAAGATATAATTACTCATATGACGAAAATAGTGATACTTTCGCTGATATCAATAAAGTATCGGTCCCTGTTTCTCCCGCCCGCTTTACCCCCCCAGCCATTACCCCCCCACCGGCACGACTCATAAAGACGTGCAGGTGCGTAGAGAGCACGCACGTGAGGAGTCATATAGAAAGGCGGATAGATACATGTGTATAACGAGCGCGTTGCGTCGCGTCGCTCTGCGACATGGCCGCACTCTTTGCGAGTTACAGCGAAGATAGTATAGAGCGACGTATCGAGCGACGGCAGCGGGCAGCGGCGGCGTCGTGGAGGGACAGAGGGACCGCGGACAGACGCGGACCGCGCGCTCGCTGATCGGTGGTGGTGGTGGTGGTGGCGGTAGCGGCGGCGGCGGCGGCGGCGGCGGCGGTGGCAGCAGCGTCGTGGAGGGAGAAACGCGCGCGCTGATCGGTGGCGGCGGCAGTATCGGATAGAGACACGGTACGTTCGGGTTGTCGTCTCATATCTCGCGTCTTGTCGCGCCGCGTGTCGTGGTGTTCGCCCCCGGATTTCCGGTTTCGATCGAGAGAGATCGCGGGTATCATTCGAGTGGTGCGCGAATCCCGTCGCGTCGAATTATGTCAAGTATTGGAAAGATAATCGACGGAGAGAGAGGGAGCATTAACCCCTGATAACCTCGAGAGACAACGACTCTGCGCGCTCAATCGATCGATCGGCGATTTCGGGAAATTCCGCTGGTTTAAATCGAATCTGGTCTCTGTGGACGAATTTCTCGAGGCGTGGATCAAGTAAAATGTTGATGGTGATGGTATGGAAAGATTTAAATATCTTTGATTATACGTTGTATATATCGGGATGTAAGAGACAATTAGAGTAGATTGAGCGTGCTTCTTAAACTGGGACTGTGTTTTTCAGGGAGTGAGTTTCATAGACGGAATATATTTTTGTTATTAAGGCAACGAGTTGAACGCCTATGTTTAAATATAGAAATGGAACGATTTAAATATTCCTAGAAAGAGATGGTGTTCGCCGAAAAGGTTAGAAACCGAGAGACGATTTTGCGGATACCGTTCGATAAATTCACATGCGCATGCTTCGACACACACAGCGATGGAAAAGAGGATTTAATTTAAAATATTATTATCAGTCATATGCGTCGCTAAATCTCGATGTGAATCGAGCACGCGCTTCGCCACAGAGATTGCTGAAATATTATTTTCTTGATAAACATGACACTGTATGCGGAATGGTAGAGTAAAACATTTTATCAGGAAACAAATAATGAGAGAAATGATTTCATTTCCATCAACGGAAAGATAATATTCTTGTACGTTACTCGTGGAAAAAATAGCCAGTCTTTAAAAAAAATTTATATTATAATTATTTATTATTTTCTAATGAAATTGCTTCTGAAGGAGACTTTTCGATGACAGATTTCAAATATCCTTTAACGCTTATTTTATCAAGGGATTATGTGTGATCGACCAGAAAAAAAAAAAAAAAAGATGTACAACAAGGTATTGACACTACGTTTAATATCGGCTAATATATCTACGTCATAACGAAGGAGCCTGTTAACTTAGGAGTTGTCCTCGACCGGTATTGGATCGATTTCTAATCGCTGAAAGTACTCTTATTGTTAGTCAACGATATTCCGTTGAGCTTTGGTAAACGACTTTCGAGACGTGAGCGTATGCGAAAAAGAGAGAGATGGAAGAGAATCGATAAGTGCACGAAAGCTTTGTGCCTTGTTGTCGTTAGTATACGCAGTTTGCGACGAGTGCTTCGCCCTTTCCTGGTTGTTGGCCTGGCAACCGCGTGGCGATACCTTAAGTAAGGGCGCCGACGTAATACCCCGCACCCCTGACGACGGCGACGACGGTGACGACGTCGAAGACGCCGACAACGCCGCGCAGCATTGCGTTCTTTGCATCCGTTCCTCGTCCTCCAACGAGACAGTCGATTCAGAGTATTGCAGGAAAAAGTCGAAAAGTCAACTGATCGAAATCCTTGGAGGGAACCGGAGGAAAAATGAACAAGAGCGAAGGCGTCAATCTTGTTACTCTGGATTTTTGACTATCGTTACCCGAGTCTAACTGATGGATAAACTGGATCGGAAGTTTTCATCATAAATCATCGATCTAGATCTCCGATAAAAGTTGCAAGAATTCTATCGTCGAATATTTAAAGCGGTCAATCTGGATCTCCTCGATCTAGATCACCGGTGGTCATTCGTAAATCGCGCGAGAAGGAAAGTCGCGGATTACGACCAAAGTCGTAAATTTCGTTCATCTCTGGATCTCCACGTCGTCATTTTGTATATTCCACGGAACCAAAAGCACCAAAGTTGAAGATCAAAGTTGCTGATCTTAGAAATAATCAATTTGAGAAAAAGAAAGATAATCGCGACAGCAATCTGCGAGCAAGTTTCATTATCGCGAAAGAAGAGACAAAAGCCGGGAGAAATTCTCTTTCCGCAAGAGAGGAGAGAGAGAGAGAGAGAGACAATTCTGCGAATTTGAGGGATACCTTGAAAAAGTGGGTGAGCGAACGTGAGAAGTGCATGGGAGAGGTGCACGATCCTCTCAGAGAACCCATAATGCTTTGCTTCGTTCAGGGGTTCTATACAAAGGATGACTCGAAGGTGCGGAGAAACAAAAGGTAAATTAAATTAACATATACATAATATCGATTAATACCGAGTGTGTCTCGGGATCCCTCGAGGTTTTTTTTTTAAATGTCCGTTTCGCGCGAAATAATTAAAATTGTCGCTCGATTGCTTACATTATATATATATATGTTATTTATTAATGAAATATTTCTCAAGTATCATGCCGATATCGATACAATTTCGAATGAAGGAGACTGCGACATCAATTACAGATCAATTACCGAATTTCAAAAACTAATTGTTGCGATTTAATTAACCATTGAGAATTTTATACAAATTTTGTACACAAGCTTTTGGTGCAAAAGCTGCCGAAAATATCGAAGCGGAAAACGCGAAATAAGAAATTTAATTTCTTGTTTCCGCTCTCTAATTGATATGCAGAAAATGCAGATTTCGCAAATTCTCATATTAGTTCAAATTATGTTTTTTCCACGCGGGATACAGAAAAGAAATTTCGTCTTTTACGCGTTTTGGACTCGTGTCGCTGTGATAAATGAGGAAAACGTTGATATATGCGTTGATAGATGCCTCTCTGATATGTTATCTTTTCCTGTGCTAAATACGGATGCGAGGAAAAGATTTATCGAAGCAAGGTTGTACTAGTACCTTATCGCGCAAAAGTTAATATAGAATCAAGAGAGAGAGAGAGAGGGAGAATTTTTTTCTTTCGGCTAGCAGCGCATACACATTGTCCTATTTAGGTCACTGACGTCGCAAGCATCGCTAACAACTGGCATACGCTGTATACGAAGAGATGAGAGAGGAGAGACCAACGATGTGACGAGAGATCGACCGCGATTCCGGCCACGCGTTTCTCCCTCCCTTTCTCTCTCCCTTTCTCTCTCTCTCTCTCTCTCTCTCTCTCTCTCTCTCTCTTTCTCTCACACACACATTTTCTACGTCTTTTGACTATGATATATATTAGGATTCTGTGAGATGTACGGCCGAATATTACTCTACGAAGGTGTATGCCGATTTGCGTAATAGGATTTCGCTCGATGAGAAATTATTCCTTCGTCGTTGCTCGGAAAAATTCGAAGGAGAGAGAGAGAGAGAGAGAGAGATAGATAGAAGGCTTCAATATTAAGACGTTAATTAAAATAGTAATGTTGATATTAAACATGTATATATTTAAAATCAAGCGAACTTTAATCTCCTAGGATTATAATTTAATTTTTAATATCAAAATTTCAAAAATATTGATCAAGCCAGAGTTAGAAAATATTTTATCAAAGTTCAGGTTTCTCTCTTCTGTGATTTATCATTATAATTTCAATGTAAAAATTTCTTTTTTCTTAAATTCGTAAACGCATTAATATTTTTGACTCATCTGCATTTATCAATTATAATTTTTTTTTTTTTTTTTTTTTTTTTTTTTTGTTTGTTAATTATATAA